AAAAAATTCACAACTTCTTTTCAATTTACATTATCCATTTCATATTGTAACCGAGGCAGGGAGGCAGGCACCTTATACCAACAATTTAATCCCGGATGTTCTTCAGGGTCTTGTCTCGTGATGTGCAGAAAAAAATAACCTGCTTGAGGTTTTTCTCTAACCCTTTAGCCCTCTCCCAAATTTGATGTATATTCCAAAGTGGGATTAAATTCTGGACTAAATTTCCAAAATGAAAGCACGAAGATGGAGAAAGCAGGGGAGAAAGTCAAGTCAAGTGGAGCCATTTCATTTTCTAGCCTCCGGGGGTGGGACGAACGAGCCTGAGAAGAAAACCCACGCCGAGAAAAGAAGATATAATCCGTACACGAGTCCGTCGCCCGGCGCAATATTATACTTAACTGCATCACAGTTTAGAGAGAGACCGACCCCACAGATTTATTACGGCCAAAACGAGCCCACCACAGTCTCCAATTCAAAATGTAACAAATCTTATACCACAAGAAGAGTAAAGTATTTGCTCGCCGCGAGCTTCTTTATTACGTACAACATATTTACGTGGCTTATACATATTACGCCGCGACTCACCTTTCCCTCCAGCCAGCCAACCGACCAAGCAAGGCAAATAAAATAAATCACGACGTGTGTTCCGTGAGATACGTGTAACGTGATGTGATGGATGAACAAGAATATGTACGAGGTATCTAGAAGTACTTATAAGTAACCAGCTACATGGATAAGATGCTGGTAGTAAAATGTATGTGCGACTTGGTGCGGTTTTGGAGGTGTCTTTCTAGGAAATGGACTCCATCCGGTGCCAGAAGAGGAGTAAATTCTCATCTGAAATTCAATTCGTACATATGACAATGCGTTATACAGATGGAAAGATGCGGATTTTAGATTTAAAATTTTCTCAATTTTCCAAAATAATTGTTAAATATATAAAGTTACAATTTTGATTACTTTTTACGCAGGAGGTAATTTAACTCGATTCTTTCTTTTTTTGTCGTGGTATCATAATAATCACTCTGTTGAAATGTGAACTCTGACTGGTTGTTGAATTGGACTTTCTCTCCATTCCTTATTATTATCATTTCCTGTGCTTCTCCTCTTGGTGAATTGATTACATCCAAGTGAGAGGATTTCCCATTAATTTCTTCTCCAATCCTATTTACACCAGACTGACTGAGCCCCTGCACGTTTAGTTGTTCGCCAACATGGCATGTAAACGAACGAATGGAGAGGAGAGAGACCATTATATTTCCCATCTTTTACTCTCTCATTTCCATTCCATTCCGAACCTCGTCGTGTTTGTTTCCATTTATTTATCACAATAGAACGCAAAGTATAATAGTCCCACTCAGTCTAAAATAATTTCAGAATTTCCATTAAGTGAACAATCGCTTTATTATTTAGACTGAAATGAACTTCTCCTCTCATCCTCCTCTTCCTCCAGTCGGAATTTATATGGAGAGAAAGTGGAGAGAGAAAGTGGAGAAAACATGCTTCAAGGGCTTCTTCTTGTTCTTCTACTAACATGAAGCTCAACTTACTTATTAGTTTCTTCTCGAGAGAATGAAATTCATTTCGATTTTGGTGGAGGTGAGAGTGTTAATTTTCCTGAGACTACACAGTCCACCAGGCCACCAGCCCACTCACTCACGCAGCACGATGTGAGAGATGAAAGAATGGATCCCACTTAGATCCCAGATGGGAAATCCCTCTCCTAATATCAATCCTTTGTTATTGTTACATTTCCATTTATTATAAATACTACGGCATCACTCCCCGTAGAGCAGTTGTCTTCTCTCTCTCTCTTCTTCTTCTCTGCTTGTTTACACTTTGGAAATGATGATAATAATAATAATTCTCAAAGTGGAATAAGATTGTCTTCACGTTTTGTGTTGTGCGAAATAAGAGAGGGGAACAGGAGTGAAAAGTGGAATTTGATCGCTTTCTTTATTCACTTGACTCAGTTTTCTCTCACTCACTTTCTCTTTGCTGCTGCTTTGTTGGGAGAAAGTAAAGTTGAGTCGAATTTGAGTTCTTCGAGAGAGACCAAGCCAAACCACAAAACAAAATAAATTGCAATGGTCTGGAAGGGATTGGGGAGGAAGAATTGGGATTGTTAGTTGTTGGTGAGGCTTTGAGAGTTTGGGTGAAATGGAGGAGGAATAGTAGTGGGAATGCATCCAGGAAGAAGAAAAGTGAGTCGTCATTTAAAGTTTTGTACGGTTTGTGAAGAAATCAGGGAAAGGAGATAAATTGGGAAAGTTTGCCTTTTTGCACGGAAAGAAAACGGGATGAAATGGAAACTTTCCCTTTATATGGATACCTTAATAGGTTGGTAGATTTTTTTCCGGTGGGATGATAGGATACGAGACGAATTTGTTGGATGTGTAGACAGATGTGTGCATTTGAGATTAGTGGTATGGATAAAAAGCTTGATTTACTAGGGATAAATATTGACATTTAAGTGTTTAAGGATTCATAGGATTGTTTAAAAGGTGGATTTTGTCTAAAAAAATTGAGATTTTACTACGTACAGTCGGTATCTCATTTTTGCCCAGATTTTCACCCCAGTTAAGACTTGGTTTGTCTAAACCTAAACCAAATCATGGTCCTGATTTGCTGCTGATTTGACTACGGGATGGTTGAAAGAATGAATATATGATGATACAGTCATGCTCGGTTATGTAGAAAGTAACGCCTGACACGCAAACTTCCCTTCACTGACAGATTCGTGTTAGGAAAAAGTTCCTTCAGAGACCAAGTTTAGGAGCTGCCCTGGCGTCTGGCTCCTCTGCTTTTGGTCTGGTCTGGTCATTGGTCAACGTAAAAGTTTCCCAGGCCAAAGGTTGTTTGGTTTTAGTGCAAAGTTCATCTGTGCCATTCACACAAAATCTTTAAGTATGTGAAACGAACAAAGAATTTGATGGATGGTTTAACTTGGTGGGAGAAAGTTTTCGTGTAACTGGTGACCTTATTTTGCTTCAATGTAGAATTGATGAGCTCAAATCAGAGCGTTGTATAAGAGATAAAATAAAAGAGCAGGAAAAATTGTGGTATTTTTTTGCTTTACTTGTAAAGAAATGTTCATTAAAGTTTTTTCTAAGAAATTTTTAAAAATTGTGTTACTGTCGAGTGAAATTATGGTTCTTTTCACGATAAAATAAAACCCATTTTCGATACAGTAACTAGAATACATTCACAAACTTACATATTTATATAGCATCCAACGAAATCTAAAACCTTTGATACATTGGATTTGATCATCTTACATAAAAATGTCGCCCACATTTCTTCATATTTCTCTCTCTCCAACTTTCTATTAGTATAATTTGATCCATCTCTGGAAAGGTTACAGAACATCAGAATAACTCATCCCCAAAGTTTACAATCCATTTTATTCCCTTCCCAAATAGAAATTGAATCAAGTCAGCAATAAGATAAAAATCAAAGTCAACTTCACCCAGACGAGGAAACGACTCGGATTCGAACAGGTATGACAGAAGTGGAGGAGAAAAACCTTTTTAATAGTAATGAAGTTGTCCTCAGAAAAAAGATTTATTCGACAATCTGTCAAAATAAAAGCCTTGTTATTCGGCCTTCTCTCTCCATCAGAGTTAAAGTTAAATGGCGTCTTTTTCCCTTGGATTGTTGATACTCTCCTTTTGAGCAAGGAGAGGGGGAGAAAGAGACGACGACTCCTCTGTTATTCCATTTGTTGCCAAATACACAGACTTTCACTCCTTTGATGATGCGACTTGATGATAAGGGCAGTGACGACGATACTGCATTTTGTTAATATAGTGAGACACGAACGAGGCCGGTTAGTTGGTGGCTGGATTGGATTGTAGTACTGCACACATTATGATGTTGATGGGAAAAGAGGACCAAACCAGGCAAGAAAATACATTCTCTTCTTCCTACCTTTTCCCATGGCATTGGGTTGGTTGGCAGAGAAAGCTGATATTGAGTGAAAGTGAGTGAGTGAGTCGTGAGTTGGAGAATTTAGAGAAATCTATAAATCCATGAGAGCAGAGTGGATTGGGTGGTGGTAAGGCTGCTTGCTTGCTTTCTCCCACTGCTACTTTCACCATGATGATGATGCCGACGGACTGTGGATGGAGGAACCACCATCATCACGACCACCACCACTTCTTCTTCTTCGTCTTCTTCTTCTACTTCTTCGTCTTCCTTCCTTCCTCTACTTTCACATCAATCGAACCCACCACACTGCGACCTCGACCAGATCACATCTTTCTCTCCAGCCAAGCGAGACCCTCCTCATCCCACCACATCATTGTCCACCTGTCCATGAATTTCGTAGGGAATTGGTTGCTGGAGCTCATTATTGAAAATATATACCACTGCATAAATATTGACGACGTGCTGGGGTCTCTCCTTACCCGCAGAGATTTCCAGAAATATGCGACAACTACTTTCTCCCGTAATTGGGTGCGATATGATTTTGGAATTCTATCCACAGAATCTTCCGTGTTTCTCAATTCGATTCCCATCCTGGCCCTGGTCCTGCGGTGAATATCTTATTATTCCGTCTCCGATTTCCGTTTCCCATTCTTCTTACGTAACTTGACCTTTATTTCCAATTTGGTTCATTTGATTGTTGCTCCTCCTCCTATTCTTCTCTCTGGCGTGTAGGTATGTAAGTTGTGGAATGGGATGATGAGTCGGTGAGTGAGATATGAAGTAGGCAAAGTGCCTTCATCCCTACATTGCATCGCATCCCATCCTGTTTCTTGTGGGTTAAAAAGGTAGAAAAAAGCAAGCAGGAGAGAGAAGAAGGAGGTGGAGGATAAGAAAGGTGGGGTGGTGGGAGAAAGTGTAAATGTGCTTTCACTTTCCTTTACTTGAATTCACTTCACTTCTTCCTTCACATGGGACGGAGGCTTAACTTATCCCATGCATACGGTGCCTGTGGAAGTATCGATCTTCGGAACAACCCGGCCCGACGAACCAACCTCCTCTCTTTCTCTGCTCTGTTCTGGCACTCACTCACTCTCCTTCCTACCACCGATCCTCGCCAGTTTTGGTCTTCACTTTCTCTCCAACAGCATCACAGCCACTGCAACTTTCACGACGTAAACATCACCACCAGACCCTCTCGTACCACCACTACCACCACCACTCCCTCCCTCGCTGCTAAATTTGAAAAATAAAATCAGTGGTGGGAAACCATCCTAGACGTTCCGGGGAAATTTTGAAGTAGAAATTTAACCACTGTGATCTTTTAGAATTTAGAGAAAGTCGGTTCTTTTCGGTATGTAGATTGTTTTTTATGTACGAAAAAAGTGAGAGTGTGGGTGGTAATATTTTTTTTTGAAGGATATTTATAAGTTTGATTTGTTTCGGAAATGTTTAATAAGATCAGGTTTAAAAAATGTGACTTAATTAAGAAGAGGAGAGACATGCAGTGAAAAAGATGACGAGTGTGTCGAGGTTGATTTTTTTGTGTGAGTGAGTAAAATTACCACAACATAGTTTCTCCTCACACGCACACACATGTGGTGGAATTCGGTCTCATCATTACTGCTCCAGCTCGAGTTTTATTGTTCTAGCTGAGTTTGCATTTTCATTTATTTATTCATTCTTTGTTCTCTCTCTTCTCTCCTTGCGAAAAGTGAGGGGATTCAGCTTCATCATAGCTAATCACATTTTGACCGAGAGGCGAGACATGAGTGATCCGTACTACCCGAGGACGCCTGGTGGTAAGGAGAATGTTATCTTATCTTATCGTAATATTTTGAGACGGGGGAAAGTTTGTGATTTGATTCTGGTTCGGATTTTGGGTGTATGTGACGTGATTTACTTACTTGCAGATTTCGAGCGTGCCGGTGGCAGCAGTGGTGGGAGTGGGGACCCCGGCGGGCGCGGGGGCAGTGGCGGGGGTGGTCAAAGCAATTACGCTAAAGTTTATCGCCACGATGAACACTCCTTCTCCACCGTCCCGCTCGGAGAAGTAATTACGGAACAGCCTAATTCAGTTATGCAATCATTCGGCTCACAAATTTCTACCGGAGTACAAAATGCTTTCGGCCGACCCCCACCACTTCCTCCGATGATGAGCCCGCAGCTCAATGCTGGTAAGGGAATGTTAAAATTAAGAGTGTTTATTAATGGGTAGCTTGCGAATTTAGGTTTTCACACTAAATTTTGACGCAAGAACAAAATTAATCATAAGCGTAAATAAGAAATTCCGCTTTTGTGTGAGAATTTAGTGTAAAAAAGTCTCAATTTGCAATCTTGTAATATTTTCGTCAATATTTACATAATTCGTATTTAAAAACTTTGTTTGATTATAATTATTGACGTAATTTCCAGGCATCCCACTCCCCGGATTCGACTTGTTGGATAGGATTCCAGCATTTAAGATACATAATACCGGTAAGATATTTTTCCTCCCTACTTTTTGCATAGCTGCATAGCTCGCATTTTTTCTCCGATGTGCATAACGTAGTAGTAGCAGTGGTAGAAAATTGGATAAAAAGTTGGGCCAAATTTTTTTAAAACGAATTGGCATTGAAGTCTGAAGGATGACGTGTCGAGGAGAAAAAAAGTCGTCCTCCTTCTAGCAAAGATTTAATAAGGGGAACGTGCTGCGTCATACAAATTCTGAGATCAGTGAGAGCAAATCTGTTTTAAAACATTTTTGAAGAGTCAGTCCTGCCGCATAACTCGGATATTATATGTCCACATGCAGAAATCCTGTACATTTTCATCCTCTCCTCCTCCTCCTTTTCCGCTACTCCGTCATTTTGATTTATTACGAGAGACGTATCTCTAATAAAATCTGAATTTGAGTGATGCCCATGATAAGATGAGATTCCTTCCTAAAATCTTCCAGCCTTCCTTGTTCCATCCATCCATCCATGCAAATTTCACGATAAGATTGATACAAGTAATAACATTGTCGACTTTATGGCTCATACGTCACATACATCAGTCGAGTCGAGCCATTATTATTTCGAGGGAGGGATAGGAAGAGACACACAAATTTGCACATGAAGAAGACCAAGAAGGCATGTTTTTGTGTGGATTTTATATTTCGGTCGTGGTTTGGCTAGCTTTGTGGGTTCGTTCGTTTGTATGAAAAGATTTGTTGTACGAAATCAATTGCAGGAGTAGAAGTAGTAAAACTAGCGAGGACGACGAGACACTGAGGCACAACAAACCGAATCCTGCATGTACGTAGCCCCGAGTGGTGTAGAGAAGGAGAAAGTTGTTGGAACTTTAATTCCCACTCTGGAAGAGTTTTCTGCCCTGTGATCAGATTAGATCTGGTTGTGACACACATGAATTATGATGAGAAACTGAAGCCCAAAATTAATTCATCATCGTCTTCTTTCCCCGCACTGCTACTCCCTCCTCGCGCGCACTTTCTCTCAAAAAAGAGACGAGTGAAAGTATGCATGCAGCCATGTACACACATGAGATACCTATATTCTCGAGTGGCAGGAATATCTATGTACATGTCTGTGTCTGCACTTACCCCAAATATGAAACTTCTCACTCCTAATCTCGCCGAGATTTCGTGTATTCTCATCAATTTTTTGTTCTCCTTAAATAACAGACGGCTACTCGACGTGCAAACCCGGCTACAAGATATACAATGGTACTGGTGACCTGGTATTCAAAGGGATTGCAGACACGCTCTTCTGCCCCTTTGACTCCAAACAGAAATCCGTCTACGTCAAGGATGCCAATGAAGACTGCATATTCCACGTTAAGTTCACTCCTTCCATTTGCGAGTGTGATTCAGAGGTAAGGAAAGAGAAAAACACACATTTCATTTCATTTGTTTAAGAGAAAAAGTATCCGAAAGGATGGTAGTAAAACAAAAAAAGGTGCTAAAAACACTGAATCTTCATCAATGTGAGGGAGCCATATAGACTTTTTTCTCCACTTTTATTCCTACTTTCTCTCTCTCCTCATTCAGAGAGAGTTCAGAGTTTTTTGCACATTTGTGCCATGAGGGCAGTAGTTTGTACGGAGGGGAGAGTGAGATAAGAGAGGTGGTGATTTGTCATTGTTTTTATACGGTTGCATTTTTCTAGGAGAAACGATGTTTCGCCGTATTCTCGCCAGTGTTCGAAAACCCGTTTGGGGCCATCCTCTTCGAAGCTGGACAACTTAAATATTCGCTCAAAATACTGAATGCACTCGAAGCTGAGACTTTTGCTGTCCAATTTATTGGGAGTTCCGATATCACGGTAATTAATTTTGTAATTTTTAGCATATTCCTATTTAGTTTCTACTTACACATTTAGTCTCTCATGGTTTACTTGAACCTTATACAAATATAAATTACAGTACTATTTTTTGCATAATTTTACAAGTAAGGACGACCAACCGACCCTGCTAAATTTCCATTTCTTTACGACTCTACAAACTTTCTCCTCTCCGTTGTCGACTTGATGAGCACTTCCCTTCCCCACTTTCACTTTAGTCCCCCAACCAAACTCATTTATGAATTGTTAATGAAGGCAAGAGTGGAGATGAGGAGATGTGCTCTTCTTCTTGTTATTATTCATGCATGCGTTTTATTTTATTTTGCATAAAGTAAAAAAAGAGAAAGGATCAAGTTTTTTTAAGTCATTTTCATCTCTCTTCTTTCTCCATACACGGACATATTTATTTATCACGTCATTTTTACTTTGCCCCTTTTAAACCTAAGTAGTAAAAAAAAGTTGTTAACTTTCCTTTGTTAAATTCTTTCCCAGATAAAAGGGGCAGATGGGAGTGTAGTCGCCATAATAAATATTCACAGAGAACGGTACGATGTTATTTTATTCATAAAACTGTATACCATGCATACTAAATATCTATGTATATATTCTGTTTTTTTAGCTGTCGCCGACCGAAATTCACCCTGACTTTAATGGAAGAAGTTAGCACGGCGAATAAGGCTTTATTTATAGGCTGTGTTATTACCCTCGTAAGTCGAAATGTGTCATTATCCGTGTTGACCAAAATTTTAAACTTTCTTCAGAGAGTCAACTTTTAATCCGTTATTTGCCCATTTCTTTTTACAGGACTTGGTAATGTGTGAGGCAGTTTGCACAAGGTAAAGACATCATAAAAAAGTTGGTGTACTGTGTAGCTCGATTACTGATGATGACGAACCCTTACTTTCTCTTTTTCAGATGCATCTGTTTTGCCCCGATATTCCTCGCCTGTCTCGCAATACTGGGTTTAACGGTGGGTTCATATAGTAGCGGAGGCCCGAAAGGGGCCGGACTTTGATGATGATTTAAAAAATCAGGCCAAACCAAATGCCACCATTCCTCCCTCGGTGGTGGTGGTATCTTCATAATCATCATCTCGACATTCCAGACTAAATATCACTCTCGGTTGTGTATGTATCACAATAAAAAAGAAAATGCAAAATTCCGCAACATTTCCGAGATCAAAAACCAAACCACAATCAATAAATGTCACGTCAACCCAGCCAGCCAAGCCCGACGTGAAGGAGTGAGTGAGTAAATGGGATGGAGACATGTCGAAGTGAAGTACCCTTTGACTTTTAACCTTCCTCGCAGTCAGCGAAACTTTAACTTGTTTAAGTCGAACGAGTCCAAGGGAAGAAGAAGAAGACGAAGGGAAAATAGGGACGTGACTCGGGTGCTAACTTTCTCCTACGACTACACTTTCTCCTACTAACCAACCTCTTAATAATTGAGTGAACAAGTGTGTGACTCTGACTTTGCTAAGTGATTAAGCAAATATTACACTATTCTCGGAATCAAATAGGAACAAGGAGAGAAAGCGATATGTTTAAGGATACGAGTAATAAGTGATGAACATTTTGATAACGTGTACTTTCACACACAGAACAATATTATGTATACCGATTAATAATTAATAATCAATTTAGGAATCGAATATGCATGCAGGAAACCGTGGCCTAGCACGTAACGTGTGTTTTGGTCGGAATCGGGGGAAGAATTTATGTACGTACGGACACGTATTTCGTAACTAACTAACCTTTAATATGAGATTTGACGAAACGAAAAAAAACCAATGCAAAAAATAGAGTAAGTCAAACTTTCACAAAATTGTGACGAAAACGGATTTATTTATACTTGGAGACGGGAGAAAGTTTTCGATTTTTCACAAGAAATTAACATTAGACCACCAAAGGTGCTGGAAACTTTGGACTGGATGGTGAAAGTTTATTATGTATTCTATTTCCCTTCCACACTTTCTCCACAAAGAATTAAGAGTTTGACGACTAAGAGTCTCAAGAAGGCTTGAAAATGTATTTGCGACGATATTAAGTCGTACTTTCTCTTTCTGAGATCGAAATCTGTTAACATGCTCACTTCGTAACAGTATTTATTACTATTGAATCATTACTTTGTTATTAATTCTATTCAATCTGGTACGTACGTATACTTATCCTGTAACCTAGAATAATTAAATATTGGCGGCACAACCACCAATACCACATGACGTGACTAACAATACTCTTGTAACATTTGTAATACTCGTATAACAACGATAATAATAATAAGAATAATAATAGAGAGAAAGTCTAGTCGAAAAATTATGTCGTCAGTATTTAAAATAATTTGTAACCGGAGAAGGAAAACTATCAAGTACAAGTATTCTTAAAGTATTATAAACACATAATCCTAATAATTTATGGAATCAATTAACTCCTTTAAAATCCGAGAAGGGAAACAAGAAGGTATTCAAACTTGGGATGAAAATCGTACTTAATTCAAAGTTTTAAAAACTTTTACTTCTTGACTTTCACCCACCACCCAAGTTTTTAATTGGGTGGTGGTGATCCCGACGAAAGAAGAAAGAGAGACGATGACACGCCAGCCAGCCACCCACGCGCTCCTCCGAAGATAGATTTTCATCAATCTTTCACAAACAAAAGATTGAAATGAATGATGAGATCGATGAATGAATAATAAAATCTTGCTTGTTTTATGAAGGCTCTGTGGGTGGGTGGTTGGTTGGTTGTGTAATAATAATCATAATGAAAGTATTGACTTTTCAACTTGAAAAATCACAGTGCGACCTAATTAAGACGAGTAACGAAGCAAGAAATTGAATCCGGTTGTGGTTGTGGAAAAGGAGGTTCGGATTTTCTTATACTTTCCCTTTGTTAAAAAAGTTGGTTAATAAATTTAACAAGTATTTATCAACAAATTACCCCTCGGCGTGCTTGTCTATATATAGTAGCATACATAATGTACATCATGCCATCACAAAGTTTTACTACTACGGCTGCTGCAACAGGAAATAATTACTGGGTTTATGTGGGTGGCTGAATATTAAGGTGGATGAGGAGAAAGTTTTTGAAAGAAAAAGTTACAGAATTTTAATGATCAACTCATTTCAGAGACAGTGAGCGAATAATAATGATCTCATCGTTCTTCGTTGTTATGTAATTCGAGCGAGGACATTTTTTTGAAGAGTTGATGCATCCTATTTTTGTACGAAATCAATTCAGTCATGCGGAAAAAATTCAATTACGGCTTTGCTTTTCTTTCTTGGAAAATATTTTGATCTGCGTTTTACCCCATTTCACTCTTTCCCCTCATTAGCAGGGAGGATTTACTTAATGCCGAAATCCCTCCGCTTTCTCTCTCTCCTGAAATCTCGGTTGATGGGAAAACAAACAGAGTGAAAGTGCTGGTTGCTCTTTTTTCTGTAGACAGTTCCAGTCTTGAATGTAATGAAGGGATACATGCATAACAGAAAACCAGGTTACGTATACATTCCGACGAATACATAGTTACAAGGGAGGTCTCTCAGCGTATGCTCTCCGATTTTGGCCAAATTGTGGGAATCGATTGCAAATTTAATTAATATGAAATTTGCAAATGGCACTATCTGCTAATACAGGATATTTGCAGTGAAAAGTGTCATGATTTTTCAATTTTAGGACACGTTTTCTCCTCTCCGGATGCAAATATCTCTGCCAAACGTTCGCATTTGGAGATCAGGTGTCTTACAAATTTAATACTAATTAAATTTTCAATTAATTTACACTAGTTGCCCAAAATCGACGAGCATACGCCGGGAGACCTCCATTCTAAGTTCAAGAGGAATATTAGTTTATGGTTTACATAACAGTCATACTTTCTCCTTTCCATCATTTCATTACTATTCGTGGACACGTTTTTATTGAAATGTTATTGAAATGTTTTAGACTTGATGGTATGAAAATCTATTCAAAAATCTTAATCCCACCCCGCCACGTAAAACGTATCCACCTTGCGTAAACAATTTTATCCTTGAGTATTAGTTGTCGGCACGAAATTGGAATTTACTCTAAATGAGTCAACACATTAGTGTTTCCGAGAAATATTTTCCCAAATGAAAGGAGGAGGAGAATTCCTTTGGAAGAAAGGAGAAAGCAGATGAAGAAAGAAGGCAAGTTGCTCTCTCCAAAATTATTACGACGTTGCCAAAGAGCATACTTACGTACTCAGAAGCCATGTGCAACCGTTTGGTTGTGCAACCTTTGGTTTATGTGAAAACAAAAATCTTTCCGAAATAAGCGATAAATAACGACGAGAAGGAAAGCAGGAGGAGGAGGAAGGAAGGAAGGAAAGAGAAATTATACACAATTTCTTTCCTGCGAAGATGCTGATGTACAAATTGTGCGTTGTTGTACACTGTTAGAAATCTGGTAAACATTTATATACTCCTTTCTGGCATTGATTTGGTAATAACTTTCTACCGGATTGGTAGTAGTTTGTTTCTGAGTGGTAAATTTTTCATTGCGACAACATTACTAAACTGTAATGCTCGTTATTACGAGTGCAGGTATATGTACTCCGGTTGGTAATGATTTAATACCAGCTTTCTAAGCGTACAGCTATTAGGAACAATCTGCCTTTACTATGGCTACATTAGTCGAGTGGGTGTTGGAATGGATGTTGTCGACATTTCGAGTAAAGGAAGTGAGACGAACATAATGATTTGAAATTTGATCCTTCCTTGAATCAGGTAAAATTATAACGTGCAACTATCTAATTTCCTATGTAAAATTAGGAAAAGTATTAATTTATCGTGAATGGATTGTGAGAACAATGCCAAACTTGAGTAAAGATCACAATGCAAAATCCCACTCTGCTGATGAACAAATTTAGTCGTAACCAGACACAGGGTCGTGTCATATTTCGTAGATTTGGTTACGTTGCAAAACTCCCGTGTATGTAACTGTAGTTCAAATTCCGTTCCATTATTTCTTCCCCAAGGGACCACCGCACCTCACCTTTTGCAATACATGACTCAAATTGCGAAAAGTTGAATGTAGCAACACCACCACACCACGGATGAAATGGAACATTGCGAAACCAACAAAGTTTTCTATTTATGTACACGACCAAATTTAACGTCGTCCTGGTCCGACTTTCTGTTTCTGACATGTTGACACATTTTACCCTGGGAGATGTCAACCAGTATCGTATTAACAATGTCCTCCAGTCCCAATCAATGCAATGAGCTTGAGTAACCCACCTGCCTCGTTGGAAGAAAAGTAATCATCTCATATCGCATTGTGCCCTACTTTTCGTTATTACCTGCAAAACTACGCACAGAAATTGTTCACCAAACGTATAAACGAAATCCGAAAATTATTCCTTCATTAAACTTAATTAGTTCTATACTTTGAGCAATATTTATTCGTATCAAATAACGTTTGATGTCGCTTGCGTGGTGAAGAAATTGTGCATTGTTAAGCAACTGTACATACATTGACGTCAATTTGTAAGTACATACATACGCAGAACGACTCGACCTGCCGACTTCATACCTCGACTTTTACAATTCATGGAGAAAGTTTAGCTCCATAAAGTCTTGCTTGTCAAATGACGTGTATAACAAAAAAAACTGTCTGGTCGGTCTTTCGGTTTCCTCCTCCGCTTCTACAGTATCGGACCGGAAAGTAAAAGTAAGAAAGAGATGAATAAACCATGAAGAAAAGAGAATTTCGAATTTCATTTGAATTTCATGGAGTGGATTCGGCTCATTTAAAATCACGCAGAAGACAGTGATCTGGTCACGGGTCGCAAGATATGTATGGACAACGATGATAATAAAAAAACTTGTTTGAAAGCCAGTTTGCGGAAGCATTTCATAAATCGGGCAGACCAACTTTCTCCTGTAAATAAACAAGATAAACATTTCCGTTTCAAAATGTATGAAATTGTAGTTTGTCTCATTTTCGAGATTTTTTTTTATACACAAGCAATTTTATTTTATTGCCGAAAATTCGTTCCTATTTGTCCAAAAGCATGTCGTACCATCAAACAAATCGTGATAAGTCCTGTTTAAAACAAAGGTAAGCAAATCGAGCAGATCATCTTTCACTGTAAATAAACAGCATAAACATTGTAAAAATTTTCCTTTTAAAATGTATGTAATTGTAGTCTGTCTCATTTTCTAGATTTTTTTATACACAAACAATTTTATTTTATTGCAGGCTTCATTTCCGAAAATTTGTTCCTACATATTTGTCCAAAAGCATGTCGTATCATCAAACAAATCGTATATACAAGTCCCGTTTAAAACAAAGGTAGGCATACATAAATTCCATCCTCTCTCTGCTGCTTTCACTTCTATTTTATTACCATTTTCCCATTATTATTTACCCACCCCGGCCCTGGAATTAGATCTACCCACCCAACCGAACACACCAGACCACCCTAAGCAGAACGACACTTACTTTGTTCACTCGGCTGTAATAATGCCGGGCTGGAATTGGCTTCGTTTTTCTCATTAAATTGGAAAACCTTAGGACTGGAGATGTCCTTGCTGTGTGTGGACCAAAACAAAAGGTAGGTGGGACAAAGCGGGTATTTTTATTCTTTTGATGAGCACCACATGTGCACCATCCACAGTCATTTAGCAGGATGACTGAATACACAGAGCGGGCATGATACGAGGCGAGGCGAGAGGAAGGAAAACGGATGGACCGGCAGAGAGCCATTTCATCCCACAAAACACGAGAGATGAAAGGAACGCTGGTTTTAATGGGGAGTGAATTGAAATGAAATGATGGACAAAGGAAAGGCCAAGTTAGTCTCCTTTCATCCGAATGTGTACACTACATACGTAGTGCTCTCAAATGTATGATGATGATGACATCTCGAACTTATCCCCACTGTACTGTTGTGGCTCCCATTATGTTGCGATCAATCATCGAAATGTGTATAAAAAAAGGTATAACGCGTGTCGTAGTATGGCTCGTTTTTTGGTGACCTACATTTATTGGAGAAGTGTATTGGATTGAATTGTATAGGTTTTTTTTATGGATTTGTTATACGGATTCGGATCAATTTAGGAGGTTTTACACTGGAGAGAACGTGTGTAACGTAACGGTGTGTGTGAAGTGTTGGAAAAGATTTGGATTGATGGCGACGAAACGAAACGGTTTGGAAGATTTGTGCCTGTCAAGCTGTATTATTGATGATGGTGACAAATGACAATTGTCAATATTACGAACGAAACCACGGGAAGTAGCAGGATATTGAATCAATTTCGGGATGGTGGCAAACAGAGAAGTTGTGACATATTTAGGCTTGGGTAGAGTGGTGAAAGCAGTATTAATTAAATGTTTAGTAGTACGTGAATATTTGGGAGATTGAACACAACAGTAAAATTAAATATGTTTAGGTTCACGAGGTGGAAGAAAGCACTAATTAATTATTTGCTCAGATGGGTTAATTTGAGTAGATTTTTAAAATTCTGTATTTCACATAAAATTTTAAAAGCTTATTTTCATCAATTATTCCAGGTTCTCAAAGATTGAACAATGCCCAATTCATGCAGCATTTCTGTATAGAATTGCCCCAAACGTATGATTTCATTAGTCTTACTTTCTCCTTCATTCCACCCAAATGAGAATTTAGGTACGCACTACTTTCCCCTTTGTTCCCTCCCTAACAGGCAGACTTTCTCCCCTTTCTCTCCATCCAACTGCCTATCGTGGTAGCCAGCCGGCTCTCTTAAATTAAACTAATTACGCTCCAATACCAGCAATAACAATCATTAACAATCCCTCCGCACTACAAGGCAAGGTTGGCCGACCAGACGAGGCAAATTAAGCCAACTACTACATTTTCCCTCATCTAAATGAGAAAAGAGGAAGAAGAGAGAGAACAAGTGCCAAATGAAGGCACAGATTAGAAGAATTACTACCAAGACCTACTCTTTTTGGCATTTGGTTGAGCAGATGTTGGAAAATTACAGCCTTGTCCTTGTCCAATTATTACAACGGCAAGGTGTGTCTCGACGAGTAGTTTCTGCTCCTGGCTGGCTGGCTGGCTTGTCCTTGTAATGTTAGTTAATTCTCCCTTGCCAACTTTTATAATTACTGTACTTGCCTTTGCCCTTGGTTCTGTTCTCTCCAAAAAGTAATCCTCGCGAGGGGAGAGACATCAAGCAAAATTCGTTACTTTCATTTCACGTCAGATTCAGAGGTAACATAATTTTCCAATCATAACACGCAAATCTGCACCAAAAGCGAGCTATGTATAGCTGACGATGGCATGAAATTCGTCAAATGAGCGAGAGCTTGGGGAAAATGGTCCAGAAAATTATTCATCTCTCCCCTCCCAGAAATCCTGCACTATGCATAATAATAATCTGCTAAAATGGAAATGAAATATTACAGGAATAAGGTTTTCCCCTCTTTGAAATGGATTTAATTCTAATTCCAGCCGACAAATTCTCACGACATTCGTCACATCATAACAACCAGGGAATGAAGGAACTCCTCCACACCTAAATTCTATAAATAAATACACCATTAAAAATCTGGTAGAGTTGCATACATACTCTGTACTGGTACACATTTGGTAATAAGTTTCTACCAGATTGGTAGCAGTTTGTTTCTGAGTGGTAACCCCAACATTACTAAACGATAAGGCCAGTTTACCGGTAGAATCATATATATACTCCGGTCGGTAATGATTTAATACCACTTTTCTAAGAGTGTACTAGTTGTATAATTCCTCCCTCTCATCGCCATCGTCACCACCATTCTTGCATGATGGAATGTGATGGTACTCTCAATCCATTACCGGGTAATGAGATGAGATAAAGAGATGACTTCCAACTGGTGCGAGATAAATAAATCTGACACCTGCTCAGAGAGCCTCGTAATGAAATCAAATGAAGTGGGGAGAACGACCAGACCAGACCAGATCTCTCTTCTAAATAGGTAGTTATCCACCCATCCATCCCTCCATGGTCAATGCACCCTGGTTACAGTGACGTGGCTATAAAAATAAGTACGTTCGTACCGTGGATATCAATCCCAATAGAGGGAAAAGAATGTAGGATACACATGGAGAGCAAAGAGCTGCTCCCTAGAGTCACTTGACTTGACTTTCTCCCAGCTTTGTCTCATATGCTACATGTGTAGTTTCCGCTATAAGGACACAGTTAAAAATCTGGTAGAGTCACGTATATCCTGAGAACTGGTAGATTTGGTAATAAGTTTTTACCGGATTGGTAGTAGTTTGTTTCCGAGTGGTAAATTTTTCATTACAAAAGCATTACTGAACCGTTATGCTCGTGATTAAGATTGCAGGTAAAATCATACATGTTCTCTGGTCGGTAATAATTTATTACCAGTTTTCTAAGAGTGCATCCATGTAACTAGCGTACAAATAATAATGTGTGGAGTGGTTTGAGCCAAGAGAATGAAGCAAAGCGTGAACTTTATATAATGATCATCTTCTTCTTGGTATGTCGCTATTATGGAAGGATTCAGCATTTTCATGACCAAGCGTGGCAAAAAATTGGGACCGTCTTCTACTTAAACTAAAGGATATGTACGAAATTCTGGTTTGACTTGTAAGTTTACGTAAGACGAAGAATTCCATGCTCATCGCAACATCCACGTCTTATTCTTGGCTGCTCACCCACCGTGATTTATGATGTTTCATAGCTGATGTACTTTTTCTACGAGTGAACAAAACGGACCAAGATGGCTTTTAAGCTTTTCCTTAGTGGTGAGTTGTACAATGTGATGTAAAAGTATCGATCTACACCCGCACCCTGGGTGCGCAGGACACGGGAAAGTAAGAGGCAGCAGGAGACCCCACTTTCACTCACTACTTTCTCCCAAAAGCACACTATACTGCCACAGCCACAAACTTATTGTCCCCGTTGGAAATTATCTGCCTTATTTAATACACATTTTTAAAATTTTGCGAGCAATTATTTCGCACACGATTTTGCAATGAGTTTTACATAATAAACGCGGCATTGTTGTTTGGATTAATTAATAAGTGTGAAGGCATCCTCCACTTTCTCAGTTCATTCATCATACATTCACACACATTTGAGGATGGACAGGCTCTCCGGAAACCCGCCAGGTAATAAAATTTTACATTTATGTATTCCTGATTTCTGATAAGTTTAGCTTACCTTATCCAGCAATTGATTCTCAAGGGTAGTAAAGGTGACCCAGATATAATTAGTAGGCGTATATATTGAATGGCAAGCTGTGTAACGTATTTTCTAAAAAGAAAGTAGAAGAAAGGAAAAGTTTAATCGATATTCAGATGAGAATGGGTATGAATGAAAACGGGATGTGCTCATTTTGCACAATAGTATATCGTATAAATCGATAAGCCGGACAGGCAAATAATAAAGAAAACTTGATGAAATATTACCTCATGAATCCCGGTGTGTAGTATGTACGTATTGTATGCATTATGCATTTTCATATAGGTACATAATATGTACATACATGCAGTGTAGAAATACCTCCAAATTTTATTCTCACACTGCTAAAACTCTGGTAAAGTCAGGCAGATATTGAATTCCAGATATTAAAGTTGCTACCACTTGGTATTAAACTTATACCGGTCCATAAAAATTTGCTACCGATATGGTAAAACTTTAATACCGAGCTATTACTACGAGGTACTGCTTATCAATTGATAGATTCATATCGTGAATACCGCTTGGTATTATTTCAATACCAAATTTCTAAGAGTGTAAATTTCCATCTATTTCTTACCCAGATTTGGTGGCTACCACTCCGAATGGATCTCAACCCTCGCACACGCCACCTTCTTCCTCTCCCCCACTTTCGACCGTGTCCACACCCACGCTTCCAGCAACGGCGAGTTCGCCGCAATCCGCGACAAACCCATTGTTCAACTTCCACCACCCGCAAGATCAGAATATGAACAGGTTGAGGAGAGAGTCCGACTACAAAATTAACATCGACATCAACCCGCAACAACAACTGCCATCCAACAATAGTGCTGCTGATGGGGGAGAGGAATTCATTTATGAAAATAAAATCAAGTTTGTCCCATCCACGCCGAAGGATATGGATGTCATGAAGAATATAAGGAAAGTTTATGTGTCGAGATTTGATGGTGAGAGAAATTTTAATTAACTTTATAATATTATAATTAACAACAATTAACAGATAATAATACACATCAACCAATTGACCATCGAATCTGAGTAAATTTCGAACAATTCTAAAAATACAAAAAAAATTCAAAAACGACGTTTAGCTCAACCATTGTAGAATGAGTAAATTTCGAACAATAAATTTCGAACAATAAATTTCGAACAATTCTAAAAATACAAAAAAAAATTCAAAAACGACGTTTAGCTCAACCATTGTAGAAAACTTTTGAGATTAATTTACTATACATAAACAATCTGTAGTAACTCAACATTAAAATGTAGATTAAAATTTTTTATAAATCAGGGGCTAAAAAATATTAATAATTTTCGAACAGAGGAAACCAAGATATTTTCGCAACCCTACTTTCACTTGGTTTTATTCTCTTGGCAAAAGTGAAAAAATACGGAAAAACAAAAGGCCGAAGAGAGAATGGAGGTAGCGTAAAAATGGATCTCCTCAGAAATTCATGCAATTATTTTGCAAATATTTTCATGGTCTCAAGATTGTGGTAGATACATAATTACAGGAAATAAGAAATATTGCAGATTTAAGTAGCACGTTTAGCAGTAAATATGCACATAAATATGCATATATTTACAATCAGCCTTCACTCTCTGCCCGGACTTCTGAACCTGCTGGTCCGATCAGAGGTTCAGCAGTCCGAGCAGAGAGTGAAGACTGTTTACAATCTTATGTATTATTTACTTTCCTTCCTTGCAGACTCGCAATGCGGTTACAAAGTCACGAGTGAAAGCGGGGAAGGTGTTTTTGAAACGGTGCAAGGGGAAACGGACGGTGGGCTGTGGTCCAGATATTTCCGACAACAACAAAGCGTCATTCTGATCAAGGACAGGTTTCAAAGGGGCGTCCTAAAATTGGACTTTGGTCGAAGCAGGACCGTCTCGTGCTGCCAAACTTTGCGATTTGCAGCAATAACAGCCCATTTCAAGTCCAAATGGGAGGAACCACTTTGCGTAATTTTTAAAGATAGGGGATGCTGCATTTATTCGTGCTGTTCAACCGGCGTTACGTATGAATCCGTTCCACAACAAGATGCTGTTCATCCTTTTACGGTCAAAACGAAGAGAAATTGGAGAAACAGGGCAGAATTTATGGTACAAAAGCATCTAAGACATGATAAAAGTATTTAATAACAATGGAGGTCTTTCAATGTATTATCTCTCAAATTTTGACGAAAATAATGTCAATCGATCACAAATTTAATTAGTATGAACTTTGCAAAGGGGTTTATCTGCCAATGCTCAGGTTATTTGGTATTTGCATCCAATGAGGAGATAATGCACCCTAAAGTTGATAAATTTTTTACTTCGAAATTTACTGCATGTTTCTCCTCTTCGGATGCAAATATCTCCGCCAAACCTGGGCAGATAATGCCTTTTGAAAATTTCATATTGATTAAATTTGTGATCGATTGACACCAATTTCGTCAAAACCGGAACGCATACACCGGGAGACCTCCATTGTAACTTGCAGTATTCAACACAAAACTAAATTTTTGCATGTATCATCCAGGTTAAACACAGCGATGGGTCAATCCTTGCATTTATTGACAAGGAGAAAAAGTGCTATACGCTAACCATGGGAGAAAATCTTAAACCCATGATGAAAGCCAATCTAATCGGGTTTGTTATTGCAATGGTAAATTTCAAAATTTCTTAAAATTTTAAGTCTTATTTTAATTCATATTTATATCATTTTATCCCAAAAATTTCAGGACATCATGGACCGCGAGGATGCCGGTCGATTAAACTGCTACCTTCGGCCGAGCACCTACGTCATCATTTTGTTCCTCTTCATGCTCTTCTTCATGATTGGAGCCTTTCTATTCCATTTCGTGACCGCCATGGTTCTCGCCTGGCCGAAGAAAGGACGCGCCCTGGGCTGCATGGATGACGTCCACATTGCCCAAGACGACCCTTTCTACCCCCACAACCACACCCACAGCTTACATGACCATTCTCCCCCTCACAACTTCACAGTCGCTCATGACATTTAACAAAAACAACGAAAAAGAAGAAGAAAATGTTCACATAGATGTTTTGGTTAATAATTTGGCCATGTCATGAAGTAGAGATTTAGCTCTTAGATTTTATTGGCAATGCTAAATATTATTGCATTGCGAAAATCTTGCAGCCATGAATTTAGCCAATTTTACGAAACATGTAACAAGCAGATTATACAAAGGAAATTAGTTTTTTGACATTGTTGCAACAGTTCATGCATGCCGTTGCCACCTCATCTTCAAAACACTGCAGTATTAATATACGTACAACGATACATAGTAATCTCAATAAGAAAAATGCTACACGATTATATTGCCAGACGTACTTGAAAAGTGGTACTTTGTTCGTAAACGAAACGTTATTACGTGCATTGTCCCAAATAATAATGATGAAATTATTATGCAATTATAATGCAATTATTTATGATAGATGAAGATTTTGCTGCTGGTCAGTTAGCTTCATTATTTATTGATATTCAATTATGCAACTTTCTCTGTTTGATGCAGTAGAAGCAGTTATAAATACATACAAGTGGATTTCCTTGATACTAGTTATTTACACAAGTACTTACATATTCCTTTCACGAAGAATCGAGCGTAGAAGGCCTTAAAATATAGATAATTTGATGATCAAGTGATTCAGTAACTAGATACATAATTTGTGACGATGCGATGTACGTATTCATAAATAAATATTAAATTAAATACGACAAATTATCCCATAATTTGATTAACTTAGAGAACCAATTGGAAACTATGCGTCACTTATTAGACTTAATCTATACCATGGATTATTATCCCTCTACTGACATTTACTGGTACAATCAGATCCTACCTGTATTATTATCAATTACTACATATATATTACTATACTTAATCCAAGTACTACCCAAACTGGAGTTCAATTGTTGGTCTTCTAGAGATTTTTAGTGATAAACTGTTATAAGATTTGTTAAATCTTTACTGGAGTAAAAGTATTAAGTGTCGTATTGTTATATGTACATATAGAACAGTGAGAGACACATACTAATGACAAAGACATAATAAAGTTGTGTTATATAAGTAATTAAATAACTTGTGTTCGTAATAAGTATTATTTCACGGTCAGAAAATGTGAAACATTAAGAAGTGGACACATACATACCTTATATATTGCAGCTGCAGTAATTTTTCGAGTTTCCGTAGCTTGTGCAACTTATCAATATTTTGGTAAAATTATGGTAGAGTCACATACAACAAATATGTAACCGACCTTTATGTAGCGACATTTATGCTACCCGACCAATATGCAATAAGTAGGATTTCGTCAATCATATTTTCAAAACGGAATATCCAAATGATGAAGGACCTTCATTGAAGGTATACGTTATAAATATATCGGGCAATCTTTTACTTACACACCCAACGACCATGAACTTATTACTGATTTCAACTTTGATTATATGGGTTATGATTCCGGACAATATCTGCGGAATAACGAATGCCGGAAATCCATTTGACGAGGTTGCGGGTACTGGATTATCCAGAGGAGGCAACATGAAAATAGGGTGAATTCTACCATCACCTTCACTTTCATTAGCATGAAATAATGATTATGCTCATTTTTCATGCATATAATTATTTGTTAACATTATTAGACATCTTCTCATATTCATTATAGCTTTATATATTTGTTAAGTATTAAAATTTATGTGTTTACAGCCCTTCATTTGCTCACGGTATATATTTTATATATACCTATTTTTACATGTTAAACTTATGACAACCACTTCCTTCGTCCTAGAGCTTAGTTTCAAATTCAAGATGTGTTTTAAAATGTATTTGAAGGGGGTCATAACGAGGTAAAAATTTTCTCCCCGGGGCTCCGAGGGGGAAATACACTGGTGAGATACACTGACCAACATAAAATAGTGATTCATTCTTATTTCTTGCAGTGGATGCCTATCAAAGAAACGATTTGAATGTATTATTCGCAGAAGTGATGCTCGCTGCCTTGAAATCAACTAAAAAGAGAGTTAGATACGCTGATTACCAAGTTCAACCATGGTGGCCAACGGATTTCATCACTTGGGGATGTCCAAATCTAAACATTTCTGGATGGTCGACGTTTCAAGTGCAAAGGTTTCTAATTGGAAGATGTTATGATTTCTATGCACAAAGTTGACTGAAGCAAGCATTCCAAATTTTAAGGAGTTGGAAAAATCATGTAAGCATCCTATCATAATAATACAAGGTCGCATAATTTTGTCCTCATAGTTATGCAGTCTATAAATAAGGCAATGAAAGTGTTTATACTGGTCACCTTATTTTTTGTAGTGTATGATTTGAACCATGCGGAATTAAAACATGTTCTCTCTGAAATGATGATTCAACTGTACGGAAATCATTGGATATACGCGGAGCCACCTTGGTGGGCAGAAGACCTCCCTTGGTGCTCACCACGAAATGTTACAGGCTTGCAACTCCGTGACACAATCAGCGCTGGATATACATTCTATGGGCAAGAATCTAAATTAAGAAGTGGCCAAGCAGCAGGGACACACAAGGTTAAGTTGACAAATGCAAAAAATCCCTTAAAACTACCAGAATGCTGGATCGAAACAATTCAGTCAAGTTCGAGCAAAGAAATAAAACCAATAAAAAAATAGAACATTACGACTTGCGGCAGCAAATGTACAAGGTTTAACAGAACTAAAAGTTAAAGAGTTAAAGACAATATTGATTGAACGAAAAATTACTGTTCTTTGTCTCACTGAGACACATACGAATGCATTATCACATAAGAACGCATTAGAGGAGAGAGAACTATTTTAAAAAATAGCTCCTGGGTGGACTATATATCTTATTGCATGTGAATGTAACCACAAAACCAAAATCAGCATGTAGGATTTCACGGTGAAGCAATACTGGTGCACTGCGATTACAAAAGTAAAGCTAAACCAGTACCATTACCTTTTTTGTCACAAGATGCGACAAATTATGGTAGTTTTGAGTCGAGACGGCCACCCTGCATGCCGCATTGTTTGTGCACACTATTCAGGAGAACACCCTCGCACACCGTACAATTTGGTAAAACAACTCCAGGTGTTAGGGAGTATTAAAGCTTTGACTCATTCATCGTCAGAAAAAATTTTGTTGTTGGTAGGAGAAGTTAATTTTCATTCCTTGAGAGTATTTGGCGAATTTATTCGTGCACTCCAAAAACACGAAATAGAAGTACTTGCGTATAAAGTTAACGCAAAATTTTAAAAGTTGACTAAAATATTTGATGACGTTATTTTTAATATATGAAGGCGGGATAATAGATGCCAAGTACGTCATGAGTTTCCAGTATCTCAATGAATCGAGTATCAAAGAATTGAGTCTCTCATATGAAAGGCTTGGTACAATAATTACCGTCCTAGTTCGAGCATTTACTAAAAACCGTCTTCAGTGAGCACAAACAGTACTGTAGTGTACAAAATTAACTTATAAAAGTCTTCAAAGTAAAATCATTCCATATTGATACTTCGAAAATGGGAAAACCAAGCACATAAAAGCATAAAGGTGAAGACAGTAAATCTGTTGAGAAATTCGTAACCTAAACTAATAAACTACTTGTGTCACCCGAAAAAAAGTGAAAGTCGGTGAAACTGACAAGTGCAAAGCACCAAACGATAAAAAACTAAAAAAAATCAAAGTAACTCCACTTTACAACAGCAGAATTATTTTTCTACTCATCCCCCAGCCAAGTATGCAATTATTTATTTTATCACTGGTCGCTTACATATTCGTTGGGTAGCATAAATGTCGGTTACATATTTGTCACCCCTTCACATATGTATTCCGTACTGATATTAATTCTATTTGATTTGATTTAAATTTGATTCAATTATTATGCATGCCGCTTCTAGTATGTATATATATCTTACAAAGAACCATTCACACATTTTATTTTATTTGTATTTAATATCAACTCAGTTTTTCTTTTCCATCCCGCGCTGGTATCCTTCCCATGCTGTTAGTATGGTAGGGATACGAAGCGGGAATCAAATTTTTTGTGAAGTAATTCTGAGTCAGTAGTAGTTCGTCATTTACCGGGAATGGTTTGTGGTGACGTGTCGAGCCTCTTCATGACATCACTGCTGGTTCGTGACGTCACTACTCTCCTCCTGACATCATTTGTTGCATGTTCCCGACGTCATCCAGTCCCTTGACCACACCCAAGCCACACCTCCTCGTGACCTTTGACCTCTGAGATGGGTACTTAGGTCAGCCCCCTTAGGAAGTCAAGGGCCCATTTAATCCCCAAGAAGTCCTCCTCCAGTTTTTCGCGTCAACCTGTACCAATACATACTGTATTTGCATAATTTGTAAACCAATGTAATATAATTTTTTCTAAAATTTTATTTGATATTTGTGTACTTACGGCCATGTTGTAACTTTTTCTTTCTATTCCTCCTCATTTCCTTTACTTTTTGTCGCTTGAAATTAGCACTAAGCTGTTCAGAATTGTTCGCACATATTGTTCACACCCTTTGCGTAGATTTGTCTTTCAAAATTTTTTGGTTTAGCTAATTTTTTTCAAAATAAACAGCAAATTTTCATTGTATAAATTCACACGCCCACTAAATTTGTATGCGTAGTTGTCTTCTGTCCAGTAAATTACGCATTTCTTTTGTCTGTGTCTTCGTTTGTTTCCGTCCAGTTCTGTCCCTCCTCATCTTTAACTAAACATTATCTCGCCAGATTGCCTTTCCAGTTAAAGATTTACATACGTTACTGCTCTTTTTCTTAGTTTATTCAGTAATTATGTTGGATAGATGTATATTTAAGTTTTCGGGAGAAAACGCTTCTTCCGGTTGGGGAGTGTCAGGATATCATAATAGTTATAGCATAATAATAATTAGCATATATTATATTGTAATCCTATCCATGTACATATTATTACATATATAATTATGCGCTTATGCAATAAATGTGGCATTCTACTGCCAACCGTCAAGATACGCACATGCACTACCATAATCTGTTACAATACATGTACTCCGAATGATTTAATACCAGTTTTCTAAGGTCCTTCGTTTTTTATTCAGGTTAGGGATTTTAATGTACGACTCCTTTGTAGTCAACCTTTTCTGATGTGTAATTTGTGTAATGTGTATGCAATGATAATAAGTAAAGTAAATACAAATTCCCCGTTTCCTAAGAATGTATATACATATGTTATATCCCAATACCCTCACATTTCCAATATATTTATGAGGATGCAGCTATATTTTGTGACCACGACCTCCTACCAGCTATGCAAAAGATGAATGATGTTCCGTATTCACTTTCTAAATATGTGTGCCAGGTTGCAGTTATACTTTCCAATACATTACAACCCACTCATCCGACGAGACCGTAAAACATTTTCCATATACGCATATACATCACCCCGATAACTGACATCTCTAACGTCATCAAGAGTTATGATGATGGCGTCCGTCTTCAGTAAAGAAGATGCCGAGATAAATCTGTAAACAAACATCAATCCAATTACACTTTCCTCCTCTTAAACGTTGAAAAATATAATGATGATTGCCGACGAGCTTTTCCTCATAAATAAACAGCCAGGCTAAACGACCACCAACAAAAAACGTGTGTGTATAATGTTTACAAACTCACATATCGTCTCCTTCACAACATAACAGCACAATTTTCCTCCGACATGTGCGAAATATTTTCTATTAAGGAATCGTTTGGTAAATAAAAGAAGAACAAGATTCAAGTGGGCATGTTATCATTTAAGGAAATTGCGACGGAATAATTTTTTGTCGATATATTTCATGCAAAAAAATATGTACCCAGACTTTATGTAGCACACATTTTTTGCGCATTCTTACAGCAAAAAAAAATAACATGGTCCCCCATTCTATAAGAATTAACAGGCTAGGACATACTTATTTCCCATATTTCATAGTCACGGTTTACGATTATGAGTACAAAGAATGTTGGCATCGGAGTTGTATGTACTTCCCTCCTGCAGAGTGGAGTAGGAGAAAGTATGTATTTTGTAATGCCTATTTATGTCCAGGAGAAAGTGGCGATATGTTTTTTGCCCGTGTGGAGAAAGTCATTCTCTTTTCTTGTGTATTATGTGTCAAGAGCATAAACGTAAAAGTGGGAGCCTATTATTATTATCTGTTCGCGTTGGTATTAAATTTTATTGCGAACTGTACATATACAGTTAAGTAGTCCAAGCTAGGATATAAAATAAAATACAGGCCAAGCATGGTGTGGATTCGGAGAGGTTTTTCCAGTTCAACTGCTTTTTCTGAATATGCAACTCGAATATTGAAAATACATCAAAGGAAATTTGTTATTTGTCGCACTGATCAATACTCTGAGTCGTCAATTGTGTGACAATAAATGGGGTTAAACCTGTCATAAAAGGAAAATTCGAGTGGAATGCTGAGTGAAAGCAGGGAAAGTTTAGAGATATGTAAAAAATTAAAAAATGTCGAGCATTTTGGTACAAAGGTGAAAGTTGGAGTATAAAAAATACTATTCAATAGAAGTGAAACTCGTGAGTTCAGTGAAAGATGAATTGAATAAGGGAGAAATTGTCGTCCAACAGATTGAATAACAGACGAACGAGAAATGCAAATCTGGCCAAGTTCTGGACACACATTGCATTATGCTCTTGTTCACTCTAAATGGACGCCCAAAATGTGGACGAAGAAGTGGAGCAGAAAGATTATGTATCTGTTTTCGTGTCCACTGGCCAGTATAGCGATATAACATTTGTATACATACATACAAAGGATTTGGTTGGACCAAGTTAATAACCGAACTCATGAACTTTTGCATACTGATGTCTGCATCATCTTGCGCAAACAATGGAGTTCTCCTAACGTATGTTCACAGATTTTGACCAAACTAGTGTCAATCGATCACAAATTTAATTAGAGTGAAATTTGCAAATAGCATTATTTGCCAATGCTCAAGTTTGGTAGAGATATTTGCATGCGAGGAAGAGAAAAAGAGCAGCAAATCAGGAAAGTGTAAAATATGTCAACTTTAAAGCGCGCTTTCTCCTCTGTGGAAGCCAATATCTCTTCAAAACGTGACCATTGGCAGATAATGCCTTATGCAAATTTCTTATTACATAAATTTGCGATCGATTCCCACTAGTTTCATCAAAATCTGCTTCATCATACTCTGGAAGACCTCCAGTGTAAGCAAGAATACGCCATCAACCTCAAATCTGCGCAAAGATTCCTTTACAATTTCTTCTTCCCCGATAAATTTCCCACATTAAATTTATTGCTAAACTATCCCTAAATAATTACGCTTTCAGTCCGATGCATCCCCCACATTCAAAATTATGGTAATGATCAATATGCTAATGAGACAGGATACACAATGCCTTTCACGGTTGGCTCATCATTTGGCTCAGAATAAGCTTCTGGCGATTCCTTCTTCCTGCAAATTTCGCGTATTTGCGTTGTTCTTGTGATCCTGAGTCGTGATCAATCTCCATTCCACTTTCTCCTTCCTCTCTCTTCCATCATCTCATCCATTGGTTGGTAACATGCATTCCGCCATACGCCGCACTCGGATGGATGTCTGTTGTTATACGTCCACTTTTATTTATTTACTCTGTCAGCCAGACTTATTCACTTAAAGCCACTTCCATCCAGGACGAGGTAATGGAAGAGCTCTCTCCTGGCACAAAGTCAGTTCAAACTAAACACAATACAACTCAAATCCAGACCTGTGCAGAAAAGAGAAGAGAGAAAGACAGAGACAAATAAGTAAATGGGGAAAAGATAGAAAATCAACCAACCAACCAACGACGAAATCCGATCCTATTCAGACCTAACCCGCAATATGTTTAGCTCGCTCATGAAAGTGGATCAATATCAGAATGAATGTATAATAAATGACAGAGTGCAAATGATGGCTTAATCTTTCACCTAGAAAAAAAAATTGGATGCGAATATTATTCACCTGTCTGTCTCTCATCCTTTGTCAAGACGGAGATTCTTCAGACGGATCCAATATCTCGGCTCATCCATCTTGCTCTTGAGATGAAATGGACCATGTGCAAAATACGTATTTTTTTTCTTTCTTTCTCGGGCACAAAAAATATTCAGGTCTTTTTTACGTATTTAGTCGTGAGTGAACCCTTTCCTGATGAAAATGACAAGATAAATGTGCCATGAGATTCTGGTGAAAGGACTAATGACCAATTAGCACGAAGATGGATGGACAGGTGCATGTCTTGTTGGGCTGAGAGGTCACACAGGCAGGACAACATCACTCTAATAAAACAACACGATACGTAGCAGCATTATATTCAGGTCGCAGCGTGCATTCATCAAACCCATGCTGTGATTCGTTTAGTCGTCTCATTATAACTTGAAATGGGAAGTCTGCCGGTGAGATTGCTTACTTGCTAGCCTCTTATCCTTCTTCTCGGGGTAAATAGCGGGTATAATGCCCGCATTCATATATACGTACCTCCTTCGGTTCGGGCTCCATCCAATTATGTAGTATCCTAAAATCCGCAACCAATAACAGTAAAGGCTTACTTTTCGTGGTGATGGTGATGATTATTATTTTATCCGCATCTTCCCCAAGCCGTGTGAACCATGTCATGTCCTCCGCCTCTCCTGTTTCGAGATGAGATCAGTTATGCAGATGAGCGAGGAGCGAAATTCTCTTAGAAAATGACGATGACGTCTCCCAGCTGGTTGGCAATCAATCCGTCTCTTCTCGTCCTGTCCGTGTCATTTGTTTGCGAAAAAGAAAACGATTAGGATGAAGAGAGAGATGTTTGAAATTCTATCTGCGCAGATTCACTTCATCTTATTTTTCTAGCGCTAGGATTACATACACAAGCCAATTTATTGGTAATTGGAAACTTTTTCCAACCTTGAGAAATTTCTCGGGTTTTTCTGAGAAAAATAAAGAAAATGTGTTATATTCGGACAAATTTGTGCAGCTTAATCGCCAATATTTGTTGTAATTGCTAGTTATCAAATATGCATCAAAATGCATACAGATTTTGAATTTGTTGTTTCACCAAAAAAATTGGGTCATCATTTCTCGACGGATCTCATGCATTCAATCCTTAATCCCTTCTCCCCAGTAAATAAATAAACAGGACGAGAAAAGTCATAAATATCCGAGTGAATGGAATAAGGAAACAGTTCTCGGAGCAGTTGTGCATTACAGTTGGAGTAGAATGGAAAGTGAGGTAATGGGCCAAAAATTCTCAGAGATTAGAAACTGCTGCACTTGAATCCGACCAAGTAAAAACAACTAACGACATGCAAACTCATTTTCAAACCCGGTCTGGGCGTCGATCTTGTGTGCTCTCTCTCGTACCGTACTTACTTTTTCGTGCCGGCTGTGTGGATATGTAGGAAACATTCTGCTAAGTTCTTGACCCAGTGAGATAGTAGTTGACTACTAATTTCTTCTTCCCCATAGCGCGTACCAACCATGGTGGATCTACATATGTGTAATGGTGATCTCTATAAATAGTAGTTGAACTCATGCATATGCAGAATATGTATACGACAGCAGGAAGACGGGATTTTTAAAAGCACTTTTGTCTTCCCCACACACAAAGAGGAGATAAGTATGTGTGGATTCGCATCTTCACCGATATTTAGCTCTCTTCTCTTCTCTATGTTTTGGGTTTTGTGTTGTCTCCTCGTGTAGAATACGACATAAAAAGTTCTCATTACTGTTAAACCATGTGTCACGTTTCGTGCCACCTTATCTCTTTCTCTTACTTCTGGGGAAATTGGGAGGATTCATGTGGATCGGATCGGATGAAAATGATGCTACAACTTTTTATCCAAATCCTTCCCCTCCGTTTGGGTGCATCATACCCAATTTTATGTATTCATTGCTTACTTACTTAGTTAGCATCCACTTTGGCCCGTCATGTCGTTTTGGGAACATGTTATGTCATTCATTACCTACTTCTTGAATACACGAACGAAATCTACCCGTATTCTAGATACAATGTAGCTAAAAAAACTGTCTGTGATATCGCATTATTCCATCCAATCCACCCGGCCACATGTCACTTTTGTTTCATCTCTCCAGTGTTAGGAGTGTTTGCACTTGTAAGTCGGCTTAAGGCGGTGTAACTACAAGAGTGGATTTCCTTTTCCTTAGCTCTGTAGACTTTTTTTCTGCTTGCTTTCTCTCTCTCTGTGAGTGAAGTGAAGGTGAAAATCCACTAGTACAGGTGCGCGCATCTTCATCCTGCCAATTTTCGACTCATTCCAGCAGCCAATTCCACTCCTGCACAAGCAAACAAGTAGCAAACAAAGGAGAAAGTAAAGAAGTCCCTACCATTCGTCACCTTACAGACTCTCAAGTTTTTTGCTGTGTCGGGGTGGTCCCCAGTTTTAGGGCAACTTTCACTCAATCCAATCCACTACTCCGCACAATGAAATGCACACACAGTGCGAGAGACAAATAAGCCGGATGGATACGTATGCCCAGCTAATCCTTTGTGTAGAAGAAGAGAAAAGAAAATATATAAAAGAAAGAGACCGAAAGTCGAAACTTTTGTGTGAAGAGAGACCCATATAAATATGTATATAGCCACGACGACGACGACCCACCCCACCAAATATTATGCATGCATCTGGTGGAGCATCCATCCTCGCACCTCCGTCCAAAAAATTTGATACCACAGTGAAACAAGTGCCCTGAGGAAACTCATTAAAATTCCAATCTGTCAACTTTACTTTTCATCCCGAGTTGAAGGAATAATTGGGAAAAAGTCTTCTAATCACCTCTCCTCGTAAATTATACATGGCATGAAAAGGAAAAGAAGAAGAAGAGGAGGAATCATTTTAAAAAACTTTTTACACTTCTTCTCTCTTTAACTGTACATACAGACACCTTATTTATGCCTCGTCTCCGTGTTCCTTAGTTATTCCAGTTTTTTGTGAAGAAATACCCGGGTATTGTGTCATTGTGGATGTGGGCCAATGCGGTAGTGGTTGGGAGTTAGATGCGGTAAAACTGCTTCGCCCCACAAGCAAAAGTATAGAGAGGCAGCATGCAGCAGATTCAGCATCACTTGTTCGCCTAGTACTAACTAAACTTCTCGAGCAGGTAGCACCACTACACATAGTTTTTTCTCCTACTACCCGGGTTCGGGTAATGATCGTGGTGCTGGTATTCTGCTCCATTGTAAAACAGCAGAGTTGCGAACATTCCACCCAATCTTGAATGTGCATGGGGAACCTTTTCCCATCTCGAGTATGAGTTCCAGTCGCACTCCAGCCTCAGGATTGTCCAGGAAGGACTCAGGTTAGCTGCTTCTCCTCCTTCTTTTAATCTGGAGAAAGGTTGACTACTACTTTGGGCTCGACTTTTTTGTGCTGCATTTCAATTTTCGCCTATAACACACACACAGAAACAGAGGGAAACTTTCACCCTGGTGGTATAGCCAGAGATCAAATCAAAGTTTGATCGAATCCAATTGAATTGTAGAATTCCATTATTTTTTTACCCTGAATTTTGGTCAAGTGCGACTATACTAGGGTGAAATCGGGGAGAGAAAGTCATGCACGGAGCGTAAGACTGGACTGACTGACCCGACTTTTTTTATTAGGCTGCTACTGCTCCTACTGCTACGACGACTGCACAGATTTAAAGAGTCGATAGAATAAACGACATTCAAAGGATTTTAGAACTTGAGACAAGTAGTTGGCATGCGGTGAGGAGAGCCAGTCGTGTTTCGTTTCGTGTGTGTGGTGTCATTTCAGAAATGAGGTTCTTTCCTCTGCATTACAAATAAGGCTTGGGAATTGAACTGGGTTAAATTTTAAGGCTGAATTTCCTTCTTTCTTTTTTTTTGCGGTCTTTATTCGCATATTTTAGAAAGGATTTATCTGGAGATTTTGCGACTGGAGAAGGAACGTGCAGTGATCAAGGCGAAACAAGCAGGTAGATGATAATTTTATACTAAATCCTGTCCAAAATTAATTATGAACAGTTTTGAAATTTTTTTGAAAAATGAATCTGACTCAAAATTATGAATAATTAAAATCTCATCTCGCAGAAGAAGCAGCCGCAAAGCGAGCCCAATTTGAGAATGACGTCGGGAGAAAGTTTTTCAACAAAGTGATGGCCAAGAGAAAAGCTCGTCTCGCAGCGGAACAGGGGGAAGCGGACGCGGAGTCTGGAGCAGATAAGCCACTCCTCTTCTCCTCCCTGATAAATAGTATGACCTCGCAGAACAATAATGAGAAGAGCAGCAGTGGTGGTGGTGGTGGTTCCGTGCTGCCGGGTGGGTGTAACCAGAGCAGCAGCTCTCCCAATTCGAGTGCTAATAATTACGAGTCCTCCGGAGGGAACCGAAGAAACCTCGAGATCTCCTTACAAATTGAACCAGACCACATTTCCGCACCCATTCCTCGCATTACCGACAGGTATTCGTAAGTTTAATAATATGACTTTTTCTGTGTCTGTGTCACCTTTGTCCAACTTTTGGAAATTGAGTGAAATGCGGTTTAAAAAAAAATATTTTTGTTTTGTTTTGTAGGATGCAAGCAATTCCTCCAGAGTAAGTAGGCAAAAATCACATTGATTGATAAGGTTTCCTATTTTTTAAATCCATAATTTGTAAAATCTAGACCCGTGAAAACGCCAACGATAGTGTGTCCAAAAGGCTTTAAAGGATTTAAATTTGTGAACAATTTTACGCTTCAATTTACACCGGCAGGTATTTAATCGACTTCAAAATCTAAGTAAATGGTCTCCATAATTTATTTTACTGATTTTTTCAGAATGCTGCGGGGGTCCCAGGAACGTAAACATTTATGCGAAAGATCAAGACGAAAAGTGTTTATGTTTTGGTCGCATCGATTCAGAAACTGAAGTCTTCCTCCAAAAACAAAGTGACGACAAGGCCATGGAAGAACTCCTCGGGTTGAAATACGATTCGGTACGTGGAGATAATGACATTGTTTTATTGATTATGTGTGTATTTTCACCTTTACAAATTCCCTTATTCCCACACTGCAGGCGACGAAAGAGTGGACAATATCATTCCCAGGTTGGCTCCTATCTATGCTACGAGGCATGCATAATTAATGACTATAATGTTAAAATTCTATTTATACAGAACTGGAAACCGTGGCATACATGGTACGCCCGAAACCCGCATCGAGAGTGTCTGCTGCTCAAGTGTATGAAATATTTTCGGCCGAAGGGTCATCAAACTATTTCAATTTGGGGGTCGAAATGGAAAAATCGGGAAATTCGAGGAGGCCAGACTTCGTTTTTAGAGTGAGTTATTCAAAAATTTCTGGGAATATTTAAACTATATTATGCATTTTTTTCTCCATGATTAGATCCTAAATTCAAACCTCGCCACGGTTGGAACGGTCATTTTATTATCGAATTTCAAGGTTGCAGATGTCACGATTGACGGGTCACTTTGGCCCTCTCAAAAGGCTGTGATACTCGCCGTTGCTCTGTACGGTTTCCAAATATAACTATTTTTAATTGACAGTTATAATAATTATACATAATTTCTTATCTCAGGTACATGTCGTGGGACGTGGTAAGAAAATGTTTACACTTTCCAATTCGAAAATAGCTTTGGGGTAATATGTATCGCGCTATAAATAAGTGATGTGGCCTGAATACAAAATTTTCACCACGTGTTAACACTGCACAGCTTTCTGTCAAGTTGGTATATTACCAAATAGTATAAGAATTTATTACCCGATGGTGAGAAATTGATTTCAATGTGGTACCAAACATTTGAATTTATTTGACAATTATTGGCAAAAAAGTCGTTGCCAATTCGCTGGTAGAGCTGCATAGTGGGCGAAAATTTTGTTACCACATTATTTACCGTGCATATCAAGTCAAATTAGGCTACACTACTCTGCAAACTAGTCGTCCATAGCAGGTTGGGTCCCCTTAAAGCGAAATGCATTCATTGAGAAAACTTTTTGAGTGAAAGTGGCGAAAGTGGAATCCGTGTCTTGTTTATTGATTTGGAAAAAGGAGCAGCAGTCCTTTGCATAGTCGTCTGGTCGGTGGTGGTGGTGGTCCTTCTGCTGCCTGCCTGGGTTGTACATATATTTTCTTCCCCACTGCAAAACCCAGCTCACTTTCTCTTCCGTTTAGACTTATAATAATCCTCATCTTTAGACCAAGAAGAGTCAACTTTCTCCAATAAATCTCTACTGCTTTCTCTCCTCCCTTAGGTGCAGGACATTCGACGGAAGGCAGCATGGGTTCGAGTCCTCATAGCGGCCGGAATTATACTTACGATTCTCACGGGAATTCTTTTAGTGAATATTTATTTACTCCGGAGAGAAGATTGACCTTCAACGAAGCCTAAGCCGAGATCTTTTTATTAGGCCAAAGAAGAGGAAAAAACGTTGTTAATTGTGGACAAATTCTTAGCTGTACAATGGAATATAATCCAATCTAAATATAAACATTTAGTGATGACGGACAGATTTTTATTATTGCAAATCCCTGTTTCTTGTAAATATTTTAAAAAAAAACACAGGAGACGTGTGTACAAGTCGAAAACTTCCATTATTTCTTATAAATGATTTTTATCCAAATTTTTTCTACCAACTTGTTATTTATCAATACCAAAAAAAATACTTCTCTTTCCAATCTATTAACTTGTAGAGGAGAGAATTAGCAAACCATACAAGAGATTTTTTAATGTAAGGAAAATAAAAATTGAACTATTAATTAGTGTTAAAAGTAAATACGTACTAAAAAAAGGGAAATAAGTAGCACAATTCATTACCTGAAGAAAAAGAAAATAAGAAATTAATCGATATTCAATTCATCAAGGAACAAGTGTGTTCTTCTTCCTCATTGTTTAGTCGTTATTTAGAGGAGAGAATTATTAATCGATTATATGAATAATCAATGATTCTGTGTACATACATATGTAACTTATTACCTCTGAAATATCTAAAATGTACATAAATACATAAACTTAGGAGACAATTATTGTGGCCGTGGTGGTGTAGATGTTATAAATATGTAGCCTTGTCCTGAGGCCTTTTCCTGTCATACCCGTACGTACATAAATTGTGGTAGTTAAAACAATTACCAATTTTCTTCTTCAGATATGACGCCCTTTAATTTTTATAGCTTCTTGAAGAAATTTATACTCTCCTAAATTCAACGAAAACCTCTTTCTTCGTGGCCAACTCTAATAAACCACGTGGTCTCTGACGATGACCTGTTTCCTTTACAAGACGTACTAAAAACTGCATGTTTTTAACCAAACCAAACCACACAGACATAGGAATATATGATAATAAAAAATAAACAATATTATGTCAATTGGTAGGATCTAATTATTCGTGAATGTAGGATTAGGACGGTATTAAATCGTAGCCTTTGGGGTGAGGCCTATAAATAATCTTCACAACTTGAGGAGAGGAAGTTGAGGTGATATGCAATAACCTGGTGTTAAATACATATTTACATAGATTCGTAAAATTTAAGGATACATTTCTTCTCAGATTTTTGAAAAAAATGTTATAAATTTTTAAAACTAAAGTTGTCTTCTTCATGTAAACTTTTCTTGTAGGTGTTTCGACCGATCGTGATTGTTTTACTGTGTTCCATGTCAAAGTTCAATCCATGATATGTCGATTGGTAGGTCAAATCTCACCCATAATGACAATTTTGATATAGGTATGTAAGTTTTCATGTTTTTATGTATCCTGATTTTTACCCTGTTTCGTAAAAAAGAAGGTTTTTACATAGTTGAAGGTGACATTTTTGTACTAGTTTTTGTGTGGACACAAGTTTTGTGCTCAAATCAACAAGTCAAGTCAAATAAACAATACAGGTAAAAAAACTGCATGAATTAGTAGAAATAAATCGTAATGATCGATAACTTGATATCGACGACTAAAAATAACCATGAATTTATTTAGATGACGGTAAAAAGTACCTTATCAATCCGAATCTTATGACTTAGCTAGATGATAACTTTACAAAAGACAATTTTTGACTTATCGTGTACTTCAAGTCTTGATATTGATGAGCACCTTTTACTCCATACCCTTTACCTTCGACCTTATCACGTTGTACGTAGAAATTTAGCACAAGTTAAGATTCATCATCACTATTCCAACCAAGCCACTCACTGTCTGTAATAGTAAATCCGTACCCTACCTACTAGTCTGTAGACATCTTCTAAATACGTAGCTAAATGTAAACCACCACCTCCTAAATACAAACAGTAAACTAAAATGTACATGTATCTAAAACCAAAATATATGTGTAAGATATCAAAAATGTCAAAAAAATGTCACACAATTACGTAAAAAATCTGGTCCTACAACAACAACCGAAAGTCAATCAACATTAACATCTCTTAAATACAAATCTTAAAAAAATTCCTGTACTACATACATAGTGTTCCTCTCAAATATTTACTGTTAAAAGTTGTACTTAAGCCGTATAATATTCTTTTCTCTCTATTGTTTTCTACTCCTCTTGATAGAAAAAGAATCATCCTCGTGTATGTATTAATAAATGAGTATTACGTACTTTCTCCTTTCTGTTTGCTAAATTATTTTATTGCTCCAGTCCAGAAATAAACCGGGCAGATTTATGTAGCGGAATGAAATTGGCACATAATACACACATTTGCGGTATGTATATGCGCATGAAATGCCTCCTCCTTCCTGGGCTATTATACACACAATTTGGAGAGTTATTAATACGCCAAGTCCAGTCCAGCCAAATCCAGGTTGGGAGAAAGTAATAAATTATTGTCATCCAACCTTCAAATCCAATCCACTCACTCATTTCTTCCAACACAACATTCATAACCTTCCAAGCCACCCATTCTGTAGAGTGACAAATGATTTTGTAAAATACTACAAGAAAATACAATGCGAATTTGATGGCGTGACCGGGAATGGAAATCTGCACGGGTGGTTTTGTATTGTTATAATATTTTCTTTTTGCCCACTTTACCCCACCTCCTAATGCAGTAGGGATATGTGTATATAAATAGGTATGTAATCTCATCTCTTGAACAGATTTGTGAACATTTTCACAGTTCAGAGTGCAACTTTGTGTAGCGTAATGTGAGATTATTTGCCTCGTTCTTTCTCTCATGCCCCGTTTTATTGCAGGGTGACACGCAATCCGGCAATTTCTTGGGAAAGAAAGTAGGGAAAAATTTAAATAAAAATTAAACTTATGTACTTTTAGGCAAAGAAAGTTGACCAAAAAAACTTTTCAGGAAATGGACTGTTAAGATTTTTTTTGCTAAAGTGCCGTTTCAATCTTAATAAACTTTATAAATTAATTAACACTGTTTATATATAATTAACAAAATCGTTTAAATGATGCATTTTTGAAATGAAGTTATTAAAGTTTGAATAGAAAAGGACGTCATTTAAACACTTTGTGTGATTCTGTTTACTTTTATGATATGGATTTTGAGCATAGTTTGTACCTCTAGGAGGACAAAAAACGATATGAATCGATACATCAAATGACGATATTGAGTTAGGAGGATGTGATTCTATCCGATTTGTTTGACTTATCGGGAAACACGTAATGTATTATTTGTTACGCAAATCTGGGCAGGACTCCACACGTATGCAGAGAAATATACATATTTGGTTTTATTCACTGCAAGAAGAGCTACTTCCAGAATTTATACATATTTCTTAATTTTTTGATATTAATTTTGAATTTTGGTAAAATTACGACTTTTTAATGAGGTCCAGCTCGAGGAAATTCCTCTTATCGAAATCTTCGTCGTCCTCCCTAACTTCGGATGGATCCATTAAGAAAGCAAAGTTTAAGTCCATCATTCTCCAAAATACGAGAGGCTCAGTTAAAAAGTTTGTCATAATTTTTGCATTTAATTAAACATGAAATAATTTCGTCATTTTAAATAACCAAAATTTACCTCTAGAACAGAATGCAGAGTGGTGAAAGTTGCTAAAGAAAATACCGTATCGTACGAAGAATTTCTCAACATTTTACAAAAACCGAACATATTTATAATCAAGTGGTTCAGCAATACGGGTAACAGATATTCGTAAAATTTGGTGTAAAAATTCGGTGTAAAAAGTTGCATTTTAAAATTCAGGATGTTGCAACCGAAAGCAGACATTTAGCCACTTCGAAATCACCAACATTGCAGGGAGTCCCTTACTCAAGGGAAAATATAGTAACGACTCTGTCCGAGTTTTTGACGATAGGAACAAACTTTTCATGATGTTGGACTACACGAAAGATAAGGTAAATTTATTATTATGCTGATTCTTCTCAATCAAAAATTTAAATCATGATGTGCAGAACCGAAAAGCGGTCCTCACCGTGCCCAATTCAACCATACCGTTAGCAACGATGGAGAAATTGACAAACTATATGCCCCACAATGAAAGGTTCCAAATGGTTTCGGAACATTTTTCCGAACTAAATTGTAACGTGGAGCAGCAAACTTTACCAAGTCGGTATAGTGGATCGTTGTACAAGTACACCGTAAGCAGATTTAATCAAGTGTTAGCATTAGTAGTAACACAAAAGATGTGTACATGTAAAAATCATTACTGTAAATAAATAGATCACGTCTGGGAAGAATGTGTTATCAAAAGTGCTCCAACCCTCGACCGGTGATCCTGTTTACGTTTTGGTGGATGAAGACGTGTCAGTATTTCAAAAGACTGGAATTTTAGCAGCGTCGATTTTCATCGTAAGTAAATTAACCAAGTTCTGAGAAAATGTTCTGACAATTTTTTAGATACGATTTAATTTAATTTGTAGAGCCAAAGACCAATCAAAAGCGTGCGAAAACTGGCTATAGTTTCATTAATATTTGTTATCGTTTTCATCCTTGGATTTGTCGTGGTTGCATCTACAGTGTTTGATTTGAGATATAAAGAGAACGAGGGGCCGAAATTTCCAAATAAGCTTAAAGCTGGGGAAGATGCTACTTAATAAGACAGACAAATTTATTAAGTCCGCCTGGAAATGTTAATTATTACATAAAATGTTAATTTAGTATTTAATATGTACAAGGTATGCAGATGTAAGAACACAGATAACACCTTATTGTGCCTTAGTTGTATCAATAGACCCGTTTTGAAACCTATCTCTGACTCTTTGTCGGAACGATCTCCTGTCCTGAGTGCTAATAAATATTTGCCAATCTTCTCGATCTTTGGGGTCTCTTGGACCCCATCCGTACTGGGGGCGAAGTGACATTCTTAATTTCTACATAAAAATTCAATTAATTTTTTTATGTAAATATAGCCAATTTAGCTGAAATCTTAAAAATCTCACATCCATCCAGGATACCGCAGAAACCTTCCTCATTGCATGGATTGCTCCAGTTACAAAGCATCCGATCGCCACAACTGCCAACATCCATCCCGCCCCTATAGTTAAATTATCGAAAATATGTACATAGTGAAAGTATCTAATACAATTAATTAAACACCTTTCGCCGCGCTAGGAAATGGAATCCCATTATATTCCAACTTCTCTACGATGAGGGAGTACACCAAAATGAACATCAGAATAAATGGAGCTAACACTCCCCAACATATTTTCCAAAATAAACCCAACTTGATGCCCAACATGAATTCGATATCACCAATGAAATTATATATTCCATAAAACCAAGCGACTCCAATAACCTGTAAAAATAATAATTACTAACAATGGAGGTGTCCCAGCGTTTCCTCTCCGATTTTGACCAAATTAGTGTCAGTCGTCACAAAATCGATTGAGATTAGTTCAATCAAAATCTGAGAGTATGTGCTGGGAGACTTCCATTGTAAGTTGATAACTGACGAGAAATTACTAATTGCAATTATGTAAAACTCCTTTACCTCCAAACTAGACATTGTAAAGATGAAAAAAGCACTGGTGAAAAAATCGACAAGCTGCAGGATAAATTGACCACCCTGCAGAAAATACATATGTTTGAACATGTGTAAAGACTTGTGCCATACAATTAAATAAATAGTATACATAAATTACCGGTGTTACATACACTAATCCAATACTGCACCCGATAATACAAATGGACAGGGTGACGACGTGCTCTCTAAAGTATGAATAGTAGTCGCAAAATATGACCGAAATTGCTGCCGCATTCGCAATTGAACTTCCCAATCCAAGAAAAAATAGCATGAGGAAGAAGAGTGCTGCGATGAGCTAAAAATTAGCACATTTTTACATATGTAAGCCTGAAACATTCCGATTGGAGAAAGTTATCCAAAATCAAACCTGTGGAGCCCAGTTCATTTTTGCGATGGCATTTGGGTACGTGACAAAGATAAGACCGAGGTCCCCCTTTCCCACGACGCTATCAATACTGACTCCAAGTTCTTCAGCAAGATTCCCTAAAATGGCGAAAGTGGTGAAAGCTGCAAACACGCTGATGAAAGTATCCACCAAGCTGAAGATTAAGGAGTCCCTGAATAGAAATTAAATATTGGAGAGGAGATATGTAAGTACATCCATATTTTGCATGCAAATTCACACCTGTAAATATTATGCGAGAATTTATTATAGCTGGCAAACATTATTATGGCACCAAGACCAGTATTCAGGGAGAAGAAACATTGCCCTGCGGCGTTATACCAAACCTGATGGAAAAATAGAAATGAAAATCTTTTCATATTTTTTTTGTTGAAGGCAGTTTCGCTTTTGTCGTTAATTTGCGTTACCTTCGGTTGATACAACAGATCCCATTTTGGTTCCATAAAGAACCTTATACCTGACCAAGCTCCAGGAAGTGTGAGTCCAATGATGAGCAGAATGACGAGAACAATTGAGGGAAATATGCAGGTGACGTATGCAACTTTCCCCATGGTTTTAACCCCTCTTGAAATCGACAAGTATATGATCAGCCAAGAGAAAGCGAGACAAAGTGAAAGTCTCCACTCTGGTGAACCGATGCCATCCTCGATATTTGGAAGTTCTTGGAGAATTTCGTTCCTGATGGACACAATTAATGATGAACATTTACTTACATGCATGAAATATTGGGCCGAAATCTTACTTGAAGTAGAGATCGGGAAGAGAACGGTTCGTTTTGGCTGGGTTAAGATGAGTTCCATTACAATTTCCCACACCGGCCCAACTTTCTTTACATTCTGTCCAAGGAAGAGGATTTTGAAAGCAGCGAATAAGATAGTATATGGGAAGAGCCACAATAGAAACGTAGTAAGACAGTGAGCACTGCATATTTTTGTGCATAGCGCAATTAAAAATTGGGTAACGAATATTTAAATGTGAGAGAAAGTATGCATACCAACGCCCCAACCACAGTGCCCACTCCGACCCCTTTGAAAAATGGGACGCAACGCCAGACTTGTACCTTTGTATTTATATTTTGCCCTCAATGCTTATCCATAATCTTAACTATAGTATGTAAAATTTTGTCAAATGGTTTCCGACCTGATTTCTTGACGTGAACTGACCCAAGCACAACTCCAAAAAGTAGACTGGTCTCCCAATCACAATCATGATTATGAAATAAGGGATCAGAAATGCACCTGGGTAAAAATAACAGAATTTTAGCAGCCGACTGTGCAATCTAATGCGAGAAGTTTCGCATTCATTATATTCATACCTCCGCCATTCTTATAGACCGTTACGGGGAATCGCCTGGTCAATGTTTAAAAGTAATGAAATAGGTAATAAATCACGTAATTTTAAAATTAATTAAATACCAAATATTTCCGAGACCAACACTCATGGAGATGCAACAAACCATAAATTCCCATTGGTTGCTCCATTTTAAACGGGGTGGTTCATCCTGATTCAGTTTTTGGGGGAGTGGAAGCGGAGTTGGCGAATCCTTGAGCACAAATTACATTACTTAAATTAATAAATATATTGTTATGATTTGCAAGTAAGTACATTGTCTGTTGATGAGACGTCAACTTTCTCCTGAATTTCAGATTCTATCAAAGCCCTAGAAAGTGACGTAGCTGATGCAGGTAGCTTATCATCTTCGTCATTCTCCTCCTGAATTACGGTAATGCGAGGATGCTTGATAGGTTGAACTGGTAATTTGTCGCCGCCAGAACGGTTAACTTTTGCGGTTAAATCATAATTTTGCGAATTATTTTTGAAATTCATTCTGTTGAATGAATTAAAATTTAGTAGAAGAAATTAATTCACTCTCAATCTCTGCATCTTATTGTAATTAATTATTCATAACTAGACAAAAGCTTATGACGAAAACACGGAAATTATAAAAGCGTAGACAGTTGATTAGATCTATACATATGTAAAGAGAAAGCAAAATCATGTAAATTTTTCGCAATCATGAATACATTGACATCATTATTGTTATCTGTCTAGCAAGCCATATGGAGTTTCAATTAGCCAGCCGGTTCAATGATTGCATGTATTTAATTAATCATTTCTGGTATTTTGTATTTACCAATTTTTAGAGTGATAAAAATTTTAAAGAGAGAATCTATTATCAATTAATAACTAGCGTATAAGCCCGTTTCCCGCCGGGCGAGCGTTTACCCACTAAATTATTCTTTATTCTGAAATTCTGTAACCCTTAAGTGGAAGTGAAATGAATTTCACGCTTGGAATACCTGGAAAATTAAAACTTTAAAAATAATCCCCAGCCAATTTTAATGCAATGCTAGGTATTTGCGTATGGTATTAAGAAATGAGTAACTATGTACGAGGTGAGAAAGGGCTGATCCACCTTCAGATAACCACCACCCCCATAAGCCCACAGAGAGTACCACACGCTCTGGCATTTAATTTTATGAATTATATGAATTTTGAATTTTCGCGCCATTTGAAACTTGACTTTCCTTACTTTCACTTCCGTTTCGGAAAATTACTTTCACTTCCGTTGGAGACAAACATTTCCAGCTTATAGTATAGAAAGATTTCAAAGATGTTATAAATGACGCCGAACTAGTGAACCGAAAGAATTTTTATGTACATCTTTATTACCATCAACATAGTTTTGAACATGCATCTTATCTATCTTGCGTAAGTCAAATACAAAAAAAATTAGCTGAGCATCGCAAGAACTTTCATCCTTTTCAGCACCTTCTGCTTAATCTCGCCCATCTTTTTTGCCCGTGCTTCCGCCGTCTTACAATTTTCATTGACCCTTTCGTCCAATCCGATTCGAAGTCGAGAAATTCCGTGGAAATATTGTTTCGCCGTGCATTGTTTGACTAGAACTTTATGGAAAAAAGTCGGCTTGTAGGCATCCTTCAAGTTATCCAGTTGAAGATGTGCCGTGGCTTCTTCGTCCGTAAGTAGCACGCAGTTCCAGGGCGCCCAAGGGGTTTCCTTCCTGAAACGACAGAGACGAAGCAGATATCGATTGTCAATGCCGCTCAGGGCGCTTTGCGCGTGCCAAATCTCATCCACAAGGAATTTCAGGTCAAACGCATCCATCAAAAATGTGACACTGTTTATAACCCCGGCTGCCAATTCATCCCTACGCAATTCTTTGAGCATGTGTCTGTACAGGTTGAGGTCGATTCTTTGAATCGCAGTTCGGTATAGATTCATACATGATAAACATCTATTTGTTAAAGTTGTGCCCTTTATCACAGTGAATTGTCCGACATGCATCATGCGGCGACATCCGTGACATTGTCGCATATCTTTCTTTAGTTTTGTCAAATCATGGGGAATTTTTTGGACTCGTTTAGCTTCAGGATTAAATATGGGGTCTTGACACAGAAAGAAAAATGTGGAGCTTATTCTCCTTCGAACTCCGGCCAGTAGGACGGGACTGCATTTTGGAGATCGGAGAAAGCTCAGTTCTCGAGTTAAGAGCTCCCTAAGCATTTCAGACATATTGGTATGTACGACTTTGGTCATGTGGTCGAGTCTGCTGAGAAGGGCGCATCGGAGTCGGACACCTATTTATATAGATTTGCGTAAGTATTACTGGCAGAAATGGACAAATTCTGACTTTCACCTTCTGGAGTACGAGCCACGGGGGTTTGAAGTTCAATATAGATGGCTTGCAATTCTCGCACGTGAGCTTTCCCATTGTCATCCGCTACAATAAAATTTTTTGTTTTTTCACTCAACCACCGTTTTGGATGACCCATCCGTTCGAATTCTCTGAGGATCTTGTTCCCTCTTTCTTGCACTTCAATCCTATTCTTTGTCCTCTCCAGGTCAAGGAGCAGATCTGACTCGATGTCGGTTAGGGCTGCGAGGGCTGCTTTCTTCTCAGCCCCCCAACGATTAAGGTTGACCCAATCCTCCTGCTCTTGACGCCACACGTTGATCGCTCTATAGAGCAGCTCGAGATCTACGGGTCGCTTAGGATTTTCTTGTCGTTCGATTTCCTTGCTCATGATTTCTTTTCTTTGCTCAAGTCTTCCCATACGGACACGTTCCGCCCATTGAACCCTTTTAATAAGCCCTTCTTCGCGACGACGCCGCTCCTTGATGGCCATGAGACGACGCCAATTAGTCTGAATTATGATGGCCGAATGGTGGCGTTTTTTCTGAATCATCTCGAAAGATGTGTAAGGCTTGGGATATTTGCAGTAGTCGTTAACCTCTGAGACGTAGAAGCCTCTCTTTTCCATCTGCTGACCTTTGTTGGAAAGGCTTTGCACTTGCGACACTTTTGTAGAATAGGCTTGAACAGCTACGTTTGTCTGAGAAGGTCTGTACGGCTTGTAATCAACTTCCACTCCGGTGGCGGCATGATGGTAAACTTTGTTGTTACGTTTGTCCACAAACCCGCCCAACATGGGTTTATTTTCTTGGGCGAATGTAATGTTGACCTGAACTATGCGCGTGGTCCCGTCATCCAGCCGTACTCGCACTTTTCGACTGACGTCCGGGATTTTTTCGACGACGCTGCGATCTCTGGGGAGGTTGAGCTCATAAGTGCCAGGGATGCGGCGATTAATTTCAACGGTGAATTTGATCTTTTTCGTAGGTCTTGCCCCCAAGTCGTACAAAGTTTTATCTTCAGAAATTAAGTTTCTATTTTTCCGGATGTCTAAATGCGTAGGGGGCACGCGAACGTACCTTCCAATGGCTACTTTTAGCTGAAAGATATTGGTGTCGAGTCTGCACTCTTTGCTGATAATTTTATTTCCAGGATACAAATAGAGCTGAACTGTGGGGCCTTTTTGGGTACGGAAGAAAGTGTCGATACTTGGACATCGGTACATGCGTGGTTCTGTAGTACTCGTGTAGGGTTCTTTCTCTTCCAAATATGTTACCAATGGGTCGAAAACTTGATTCGTGGAGGTGTGGCATTCTTTATCGAGACGTTCTATCGCAGGGGCTTCAGGAATTGTCATATGCACGTTAATAAATTCCTGCTCACTCGTGACTATTTCCGGTTCTGGTTCTACTTCTTCCGGTAAGATTGAATCTTCGTCTGATTGTTCTTCAATTTCCACATCATCATTTCCAAAAAAAGGCTGTTGATTGTCATAGAATGATCGTCTTTCCAAGATGAATTTAATGTGTTTATCTGTATCTTTATAATCTTCCTCTTCTAACACTGGGGCGTTAGGCCCCTCCTGATTCTCCTCTAAGGTCCATCCATCGTCAATCAACCACTCTTCTTCAGCTATCAATGGTGCCCATTCACTACCTTCGTTATACGCCTGTGGTTGTTGGAACTGGAACTCGTCCTGGGCGTAAGTACCCGTGTCAACGGCTTCATAGTTGGGGATCTCAATATCGGAATTGGAAACTGAACGGGCGTTATCATCATTAGGTTCAGGGGGCTCATCTTCATTGATGGGTGGAGCCTCTATGTCCACATCAGGTTCTTCTTGTGGGGGTGGTGGCGGCTCCACGTCGTCGACAGGAGGCAAATCATCATCTTCCTGTGATGGTTCAGGCTCGTCAACCTCGTCATCTTCTCCTTCAAACTCTTCTGCGTATTCTTCCTCGTCCGACATGCTGATGAAAGTGAGGATTAATTATTTTTGGGGAGATAAATGCTTAGATTTCACAACTTTAAAACTTACCCAGATAGCCAATTGACTAAAAAAAGATTGCAATTTTATTAATGACAAGCAAGATATACTGATTAGAATTGAACGCGTAGGATCAACGCTAAAATACAAACAAACGCTAAATTTTGACTAAAAATAGATTCCAGGGTCCTTGAAAAGAAAATTGCGTTCATTTAGCAACGCGCATAAAGATATGGTCAGTTTATTTCCAACGCAATTCGCCATTTATTATAGGTTGGTGAATTTATTTTTCAACATTGTCGAGTATGAAAGATGCATGTGATTACAGATTTTCATTAAAATTCCGAGTGCATAAAATGAGACAGGATGAGTATACGAATGAAAATTTAGGCTTTATACATTTGCACTACTGCAAGGTACATTTATTCCATTTCATTATTAAATCACCACTCAGTTTGTTGTACATCATGGCTTTCTCATGTTATTGGATTGGTTTTTTGTCAAACCCGTCCATTAACTATCACTATCGCACATTTTTATTTTGTGACGTGACGGAAATTAATTATTAGTTACGCCTTTTATCAATAGTGGTAGTAAGTAAGGTAGCTATATGTGTGAATCATTGGTATGGATTTTTAGTCTCGGGATTTGTTGCAAGTACATTGTTGAGTTTCATAAATTAGTAGCTTCTACTACGTACAACGGACCTTAAATATTATTACAAACAAATTGAAACATATTGCAAAATGTTTCTGGTTTGATTATTGGCCTACAAAGTCTCAACCCATAGACATACATAAACTAAGTCGGAATAAATTAGTATTCATGTTTTTAACAATCTGATAATTATGCTGTCAAACCAATTACAACAACACATTTTCACAAACGTATCTATTTAAACATTCCGCATTGGCATTGTCACCAGAAGTCTTCACCCAAACTCTCATTGAAATAAACATGCATTTGAAATTTCAAATCTGAAAAGTATATCGACTAGATAGAAGTACATCACTTTAAGATTTTCAAATTTTCATAAATTTAAGATTCTTTATACAAATCAAACATTTTAACAAATTGAGACATGAAGACCCTGCAAAAAAAATACAGTTTGAGGAAACGAAAACATGCATCCCAACCCAATTTCGATAATGTATGACACAGAGTAACTTGCTCTAATATGTCACTAACTAAATAGCACCACAAGTTAATTATTACAGAATTATTATACGCAAAGGACATTTTCATTTCATAGACAACATTGTCGTGTGGGTTAATTATTTTTTCAGTGAATTATAAAATCACTTTACCACAAGCACAAACTTTTTTACGTCACGTCCAGCGGAGTTGAACACCTTACATATAATATTCTTGTGTTAGCGTTACAAATTCTGTGTCATTCACAACATCATACCGACTGCGTGCAGATTATACGACAGATTAATACAAATGACTCACAACAATTTCACAGGCAACAATTACATTAATTTAAATACAAAGTTTTATAATTGCATGGCGCACCCACCCACCGGTATACTTATGTCATTGAGGTCACCCGCCCAAACAGACGTGCTACATACACAGACTTAAGATCTTCAGTACGTCTCAAAAGAGACGCTATTAAGGAGTATCGTTTGTGCATATCAGGATGAGTTTTACGTTATTATTATCTTGCATTGGCATATAACAATAATAGTCATATAATATCGTTTCGTCTTTTCGTTCGCTTCTCTTTTAGATAAATGTTGGATAACAACTGTTCAGCTAGACATGCTTAATAATTTGGCAAGGACCTACCGAAACGGCAGAAGAAGAAACAACTGCATAATTGCAACCGTAAAGAAGATTAGTTCATTACTGCCTTTGTCATTTTTTTGAGCCTAAGATAAACGTGCAATTGATAAAAACAAATTCTTTAACAGCAAAGTGTATGGTCGCACTTATGTAGAAGAATAGTCGCTGGAAGATCTAGGATCGCGATCGCCAGAATTAGAATTTGTATGAACAAGAATCAAAATATAAGCAGTACATTCTCTCTCTCTCTCTGAAATCTAAACTCTTTGCAACGATAATATTGGAACTGTAATAAACAACGTTTGAGCAATCTGAATACGGTACTTAATTGTCCACTAAGATACCAACTTTCACAGGGTAGTAATTACAAATATAATTGCAAGTAATTACCGTTACCGTTATTAATTACCAATTATTGTTGAAATACGAATTGGGCTCATCAGTAGTAGTGGTAGTAGTGCATTCTACACTTTGCATCAAGTCTACAACTATTATTGCTGCGATTACATTGCTACTAATTTCACGATTGATAACATGATACTTTGTACATTACTGCTGCACCTATTGTGTGTAGGGTGAGGAGAAAGGTGAAAGCGTGTGTCACTGTTTAAAAAATATAATTGTGTATCTAGTTAAAACAAATTAAAGTATTATAAAATAATAAGGAACATTTCCACTTTGGGTAAAACTTTGAACTAATCTTCATTACCGTTGCAGTGATGACATTGTTTAATTCCATTTTTGATTTCTACATTCGTCAACAACCCCAGATCATAATCCAAACTACTTTTTACTTTTGTCAGCGGAAACTTTGTAATAAAGTATTGACAAGTTGTTACGTAAACTTTGCAGAGGAAAGGGACAAAGATTGCTTGGTGGAAAAGGGTGTAGATGCGATAGTCAGGACCGTAGAACGGATCTGAAATGGCTGGGCATAGCGTCTGACTGAGGTTGACTTGAAGGGGCTACACAAGGAATATAATCATTAAATTATAATACTTTACTTGATAGTTTAAAGTTACTTGATAACATACCACAGCAATGGGCATCAGAATTATAAAGTGATAAAGTATCATGACTGCGTATCCCATATACGTCCACGAAAAATCCTTAAATTTCTCGACATTGTACGCACCTAGAAAATTAGATGAAAAATATCAATGACACTGATTAATGTGAACTTATTTTCAACAATAATACCTCCAACTCGCAGGAGGTAGTACGGAGTGACAAGCATCATGAAGTGCTGAATGAAGTAGATTTCCTAAATCAGAGAGCACAAGTTTTTTTTTATAAAACACCTTTAAAATTATAAGTGAGAATATAAAAATAAGGAATTAAAATTCCGAAATAAATATGGCATTACCGTTTCAAAAGGTAGAAATAGTGTATTGGTGACGGGAAATACCTGATGAAAAAAGTTAGTATCATATTCCCCAGTATCCATTTGGCAAGAGAAAATCAAGTCCATTTCGTTTGACCTTTGTCAGTAAGTCAGTCGGTTGAGTCGGTTTCTCCCCGTACATAATAATAATATTTTTGTGATAAGACAAGACTGAACGATGGATAAACCCACACATAATGATAGGGTAAGACTAAATCTATTTAAATGTTGTTGTTGAGTAATAAAATGTTGTTTTTCATAGGAAAATCCTGTTCCAACGAAAGGTTGTGAAAATGAAGAAAGATGGAAACGAGTGGAAATTCAGTGGGTGGAGTCAACGCAGTCAGAAATGTAGCTTGTCCCCCTGCATTTCTCAATGTCAAGTAATTGAAAACACGCATTAATAAATAATAATAATAAATGTGTAATAAATGTGTATTCATTTGCAGGTTGGAAAGTTTTGCGAATCTCACGCTCCCAGAGAAATACTATTACTTCAGGACATTGGAGCTACCCCCCCTATTCTGGCTTTACTAAATCCTTATCCCACAGCCACCCCCTACACAGATAGTAAGATAAGGCAGAAGTTGGGTAATTGCGGGATTAAGAAAACGAGGGGAGGAAAAGAAGTTATTGGGGGCTCCGAAATTCGAAATCAAAGTGTCCTACTCTATGAGTACGTTGTAAAGAAGAGGACTGATGAAGAGGAAACTTTTTTGAAAATAATTGGACGGTGGCCTTATCAGAACGACAATAACAAAGTCCATGATTCTGTATATGTGAGTATTTTTTAATTAATTAATGCAGTCAGCATTTGAAATCTATAATGATGTAATTACAGTTGGCTGTGTCCTTGATGGTGATGATAAAAGGAGGTGCAACTCTACTCAATTCGCGAATACTCTTCTTTACTGGTGACGCAGTCTGGGTCAAGTCATTTTTGAACGGAAATGGGGTTACGTTCAACAAAGGAGAAGAAGTTGAAAACGTATCCGTCAATCCTCCAGGCGTATCGGGGGAAATAAATCGTTCTCTCCCATATGTATATCTTGGACGAAATGATAATGGAGAATTTTACACTGGGGTGCAAAATCAAATCACTCAATCTGTGTCTGGGGCGAAATCTCCATATCACGTTTTAATGAAGGCAGAAACGGGGATGGACCACTTTGAAGACGATGAAGACATGACAATTTTTCAAAGTCCCATTCCAAAGTTGTTGCGAAATGTCGTGTCTCACAACCAAAGGAGTAAATTTAGCACAGAAAAGGAAGAAGAATTTAGCAAAATGGAAATAGCTGCCAAGAAGTACGAAACACTCGTCCACGTTGCCTTGAAAATTGCAGAAATTGTTGGCCAGACCTACAAGGGTGCTTTTGTGAAAGGAGTCCCTAAGCAAATGACTCATTTTAATGGTGCTATAGATGTTGTTGATCTCAAAGCTGTGTATGCCTTTATGTTTGAAACCAGTCTTGTCATTAGTGAGGTTAGTCAGTTGGAGAAAGGTCTGGACGAGAAAGTTGTTATTAATGTTATTAATGTTGTTATTAATTAAATACCAAAGCCAGCAATGCTCCGTTCAAGAAGTTCAGGTGAATGCGAAATAGTGCTGTCACGAACCTAGACGGCGTAAAATAAATTGTATCATATAAACAATGATGCCTGAATTCGATGCAAATTCTCTTGTATTGATTCATTTGGAGTGTTTATAGAAATTCTAGTTCTAGTTTAATAAATGTGAGTTCTTTACCTCGACGGCGTAGCGGCAAGTAGGTATATCTGAAATTTATGTGGTTGTATTATTATACAGCCTGTACTTTTACAGCTAATATATGTTTACATACCTGAATCGCGGTTATTACATGGCATGGATTCAAGAGAAATATAACAGTTTTCGTAGCGAATTTGTAGGCAACTTCCATCCCAAAGACCTGTAAGAAGAAGATTAAATTAGCAAAAATATTAATAGCTTTTGTGATATGGATTCAAAACACTCACCAGAGACACAATGGCGAGTAATGTTTTCCTTCCACCCCTGTCTCGCCGGGGTGCATGCCGATACTCTGGAAGGCTACAATTTCTATAAAATCAAACCAAGAACCAGTTAAAAATTGCTTCTGTAATCAATTCTTCCAAAAATCCTCTGATCACTATAAATCTGTGTATACTTGTAAGCCCATGCTATCAAGCCGCTGGCAAAGACAATTCCAAAAACAAATTCAATCAAGCGTCTTGGATTAGCCGTAAAGTCCGTGCATGTTGGACCACCTAAAAAAGAATACAAAAACTCTCTTTAAAACTCTCAGGTATTATGATTACAAAAGCCAATAGCATTTTTAAGTAAAAAAGTTTTTATGTAAATAAAAATTTACCATTTCCTGCCAGGTCAAAGTCAACCCTAAATAAAATATTAAAAGAATACGCAAATATTAATATAATGTGTTTGAGTAGTGTTAAGTTACACAAAACCTCACCCTCCTATCAACCAGTCCTTAATCACGTCCGGACTGTATCCATAAGAAGGCATTTTCTGTGTCCGTTTTCCCACGCCCTCAGAGTCACTGAGCCGCTCTGAGCTTCCAAATCGTGGGTGTGGTGGTAGTGGAAGAAACGGGTTCTGATCTTTAGGACAGACTAGCCTACTAAAATTAATTCCGCGATCTTTAGGTACTTCCAGTGTATTAGAAGCTTCGCTATATATAAATGCCGTAGACCGGCCAGTAGGGACGGCTATTATTTGCGTCTACACAGAATCTCCTCCTCGATTCTATCCCCTCTCCGAAAAAACAGGTGAATTACCTATAAAACACCAGTAATCAATTCAATAAATAATTAATTGAACATATTGACGAATGTATAATCCCACAGTTAATTATACTCACCACAATACACGCAGGCAAGTAGGCAATACAGGAAGGGTATAGGATAATATGTATTTGTATATTAACGGGACACTATATTTGTCAAATCCTGGACCGATAGAGCCGTCAAAAAATTTCAGAATTCCATTTCTCAAATATTTCGGAAAACTTGAACCCTTTCTTCATTTTTTCATCTACTTTCCCGACGTCGGTACCTTGCCACCAGCAGCGCGTGTAAAAACCATTAATCCGTCTGTGTTCTGTCTGAATTATAAAAACAAGACAATTTGGTTACAAACAAAATGGTTAACAACTATTAACAATCACTACTACAATAAAAATTGCTGGGAACTTTGTAACACCGATAAATCTGACGTCATCGTCATCAATATTTCTCGGTGCACTAAACTAATACATAATTTACCACGATAATCACAACATCACGCCATATCACGCCACGCACAGTACTATAAAAACAGATAATAATACCGTGCGTGCGGACAGAATTGATGTAATAAAACCAGCAAAACAACCGAGAATAAGCTACCTGTCTAAAAAATCGAATTAATTATTTCTTCCTTCCTCCAATCCACCAAACTTTCCAAGTGGAGAAAGTTCTTTTCTTATTGCTCAACAACTCCTCACTAAAATACCCCGCTTCCTCTCCCAATGTCTATTTTACACGAGGAAAATTACTCAATACACTAATTTGCAGTGCAAATTTTGCACATGCGACATTCATTTAACTGTCCTAATTTGATCTTACCTCACACTCCACCAATAAATATGCCACCAACCACCTACTACGACATATAATCACTGTGTATGTCTGCTGGTAATATTACAATGCTGGTTAGTTGGAGGTGGTGGGGTGATTAATTTGGCAGATGCTATTACAGCACAGCAGTGAGTAATAATTATTTTACAAGGAAATGTCAGTCACTACTTTGCCATCCAATCCAATCCACACTTTACTTTTTTATATGTTATTTGGTTGGATATGGGAGAAAGAAAGAGCGAGTGTATAGTCTGACTGACGTGTTTCCTTGTTGGACTTCTGACCATCCGATGTGGGACTGGGTTGATCGGGCACTTTGAGACGACGACCAACTTTCTCCGCCCTAATAATAAGATGATGACGACCAGGCAAATCCGTGACTTAAAGAAAATACGGAGGGTTGCGGGGATAACGTGGTCGGACCAATTTTCGAAGTATGATTAGATATTAAAGCAAGGTGAAAAATAGGGGAGAAAATTGTGGGCTACTTTCTCCGATCAAAGTGCATCTTTAATTAAATGTATTTATGATACAAAGTCTGGGTTTGTAAATGACGGGAATTCATCACAATTAGGGCAAATGTCATCTCCTCCGTTGTTTTGGCATAGAATGGATAAATTGGTGGATAAATTGGTGGATAGCTCTGTAAAATATTGGTGGGGAAAGCCTTCGAGGTGGAGTCTGGTAGGGTTCACATGCTTTAAAACTCCACCTTTCCCCGCAAGAAACCCACACGTAGGAAAGTAGGATATTACTACAATATCTGATAGATGACAGGCTTCCTTTCCTCCGCTCATTTAATGTTACAGACGAAGAGGTGTTAGCACGCTGGTACGCGCTTGAATTGAAATTATTGTATTCAAATTAAACTTGCTTGGTTAGGATTAGTCCTTTTTTTAAGTAGTTAAAAAATTTATGCATAAATTGATTTTCCCTGATTAAGCAATTTTATTAGAAAAGATTGTCGTTGGTTAATTAAATCAAAAGTTAGTCAAGACTGGGCTGCACGGTATAATACTTTACAGCTGCCACGTTATCTAATCTACCCCAGAGTTGAACAGTTTGCCTAATTCATCCGAATCGAATCCGAATTTTTCGGTGGAAAATATCCAAACCGAACACTGATTTGGATTCGCTTCGAATGAACACTTTATCCGAAAATCGGATAACCGATTTATTGTTATCCCTACTCTACTCTGAAAATTAACTCCTACGTTATCAACAGTATGTATGGTCAAATAATAGTTAAAATTTAGCTTTACATCACTTCGTATTTATTGTTAGTTTCATTTTGAAATTTTGAAAATTAGAGGGGAAAAAGTACGTTAGCATGCTGCCGTTCTAACAGACATTCACAGGCAGGGTCTACTGTATGTTTTGATCGAGTTGGGAGAAGTGAACAGGTTCGTCCGACACGAATTCAATTCACTACAGAACAGCAGAGAAATTTTAACTCGAAATTATCAACTTTTTTGAAAGTTAAAACAAATTAGCACCGCCATTAATTACACTCCTATTAAAGACTAAATAGAACAGGCAAGTTTTTATTCTCTTCAAAATAATTAAATTGAATCTTTTTAAACTAATAATAATATGTGTGATTGACTTGGGACGGGGTCATTTTACATTTAATGAGTTTATTAGTAGACAAACAAACATTTTTATAATGTTAGATTGGGGTTATGGAATGATGATGATCTGGTTAGATTTTTTTAAATTGTTTAATCTAAATTAAGTTGAGTAAATTGTGCTGATTTTTACGTATAAAGCATAAGAAGGTGAAGGGGAGGAAAAAATTCCCAATCAACAGTTCATTTTATTTACGGTTTGTTCTTATATTTTGATATTTGAATATATGTCCTTTGTTTTTCAATTCCCTAGGTAATGCGCAACTCCGGCAGTGCAGAGTGCATTTTGAAATTTTGAAGCTTCCACAAGTGAATCTGATAAATCATCACAACTGAATTAAAATTTCCGGAAAATATAATATAGTGTAGTGTGGCGACCTTCGATTGGAAGGATTTCTGCAAGGGTGGAGGTGGAAGTCTCGGATTTTTCACGGACCACAACGCCCTTGTGAAAATCTTTAGCCGTTTTTTGTAGGACGTTTGTTGACGGCGAAGACAGACGATACCAGCTTCAAAATGATGAGCTCAAAGCAACAACCCAAGAAGGAAGGAAAGATGAGGATACGAGCATTTCCCGTAATTAATTACGATTTTAGCTATGCACTCAGTAGTTATCATGTTATCGATTGACTTGCAGATGACCATGGATGAAAAGTATGTCGAAACGATTTGGACCCTGCTGAAAAGTGCAATACAAGAAATTCAAAAGAAGAACAACTCCGGTTTGAGTTTCGAAGAACTGTATAGGAATGCCTACACCATGGTTCTTCATAAACATGGCGAAAGACTTTACAGTGGATTAAAAGAAGTAGTCTCGCAGCACTTGGAATCTAAGGTATTGTAATTAGTATTGTATGCACAAAGAAGAATAATTGTGGACTAATTTGCTATCTATTCCCCTCAGGTCCGAGAGGAAGTGCTTCGCTCGTTGAACAACAACTTTCTTCTTACTCTAAACCAAGCATGGAATGACCACCAAACCTCGATGGTTATGATTCGTGACATTTTGATGTACATGGACCGAGTTTACGTGCAACAGAATAATGTTGACAATGTTTACAATTTAGGGTTAATCATTTTCCGTGATCAGGTGAGTTTAGAATTTGGGTTTAAATAAATAATTTTCAATATATAATAATCTTAATCATTTTGTTCATCCAGGTTGTTCGGTATGGCGGAATTCGTGATCATTTAAGAGATACGCTTCTCGATTTGGTAATGCGAGAGCGCCGTGGAGAAGTGGTTGATCGCCTCGCTATTAAGAATGCCTGCCAGATGCTCTACGTTTTGGGCATTGAAGATCGCTCAGTTTATGAAGAGGATTTCGAAGGACCTTTCCTGCAGCAGTCGGCAGACTTCTATCGGGTATGTAATATGTACCATTGTTTGTGATATATGATTATAAGTAAATATTGCCTATTCACTCGCACCTCCTCTTGAACACATTTTTAATAATTTTTAATAACTTTAATACATAAAAATGTAGGTGTTCAGGGTGGTCGGGAGACTCTCTGACTAGGGTCTAAAACTCCAGACCCCTTGAGTGGGCTTTTGTTTGCACCAATGTTATAAATTAACTATGGTGTAAATGGAGATCTCTCACTGGGTGTGGGGTTTCAGACCTGCTGGAAATTTCCTACATTTCGATGTATATATGACTTACAAAACATCTTCGTAGATGGAAAGTCAAAAGTTTCTGGAAGAAAACAGTGCGTCGGTTTACATAAAGAAGGTTGAAGCTAGAATTAATGAGGAAGCTGAACGTGCAAAGCATTACCTTGATGAATCAACCGAATCCAGAATTGTCAAGGTCGTGGAGGAAGAACTAATCAAGAAACATATGAAAACAATTGTTGAGATGGAAAATTCTGGTGTTGTTCATATGCTCGAGAATCAAAAGACGGATGATTTGGCATGCATGTACAAACTCTTCAGTCGTGTTCCTGACGGCCTCAAAACCATGGCTGACTGTATTAGTAAATACCTTCGAGATCAAGGAAAACGATTAGTACAAGAACATGATGGAGTGAATGCAATTAGCTTTGTGCAGGTATGTATTTGTTCCGAATATTTTCTTATGTCAAACCTTTCAATCTAGATACTATTCTCTCTTAACTAATATATATTTGCTTTATTTACAGAGCCTACTTGATCTGAAGGACAAGTTTGATCACTTTCTTATCAACTCATTTAGCAAGGACAAAATATTCAAACAAATGATTGCTGGCGACTTTGAGCATTTTTTGAACTTAAATCAAAAGTCTCCAGAGTATTTGTCACTGTTTATTGATGACAAGCTCAAAAAGGGGGTTAAAGGGGTATGCATAAACATTCGTATATAACCCTTAATTTTTATCACCTTATCTTATCAATTGTTATAATTATACATATCATTTTTAATTTCAGATGTCAGAGCAGGATATCGAAGCCGTGTTGGATAAAACAATGGTCTTGTTCCGATTTTTGTTAGAAAAGGACGTCTTTGAACGTTACTATAAACAACACTTGGCTAAGCGGCTTCTCCTAAATAAATCAGTTTCAGACGACAGCGAGAAGAATATGATTTCTAAACTAAAGGTTAAATTTTGTTATCAATTCATGAAAATAAAGTTAATAAAATTATCCTAGATGTAAATAATCATTCATGTTTACTTTACAGACTGAATGCGGATGTCAGTTCACTACCAAACTCGAAGGAATGTTCAAAGACATGACTGTGTCTAACACAATCATGGAGGAGTTCAAAGATCACATTACCACCACCGGAATTAGCCTTCACGGTGTCGATTTAAGTGTTCGTGTTCTCACAACTGGATTCTGGCCAACTCAATCTGCTAATGCTAAGGGAATTATTCCACAAGCACCCAGAGAAGCATTTGAAGTGTTTAAGAGGTATATCCATCATATCTATTATTCATTATACAAGTAATTTATTGGATTACACACAAGTTTAGTAGTAGTGGTGGTGTTGTTGGTGTTGCACAGAGTAGTAATGTCAGCTGAATTTAATTTTCAGATTTTATCTCGCCAAACACAGTGGACGACAATTGACATTAAATCCCCAGTTGGGCTCGGCTGATTTAAATGCTGTTTTCTTTGGGCCCAAGAGAGAAGAAGGTGAAGGCAAAGATGGAGCTAGTTCTTCAACGTCTATGGTGGCAGTTTCTAATTCTAATCAGAAATTGGGTCCACGAAAACACATAATCCAAGTTTCTACCTACCAGATGTGCATCCTGGTATTGTTTAATAGCCGTGATGAATTAACGTATGAAGAAATTCTTCAGACAGACATCCCGGAAAAAGACCTCGTACGTGCCTTGCAGAGTTTAGCAATGGGGAAACCATCTCAACGAATTTTAACAAAGAACCCCAAGACAAAAGAAATTGATCCAGCCGATACTTTTAGGATTAATGATTCCTTCACTTCCAAACTGCACAGGTACATAATAAAAAATTTTTGAGACACTCAAATCTCTTACTATAATCTCGGACAGTCAATACAATATATATTACTATTTTATCAGGGTTAAAATACAAACAGTAGCAGCTAAAGGAGAATCAGAGCCCGAGCGAAAAGAAACCAGAAACAAAGTGGATGAAGATAGAAAGCATGAGATAGAAGGTATTGTGTTGTGGGGTCAATTTATTATCAATGGATATATCTATTCGTGATATTTCTTAGGTTCAGTTGCGTTTAAATGTTAATATTTTTATTTACATTTTAGCTGCCATTGTCCGTATCATGAAGGCCAGAAAGAAGCTTGCGGTACGTTACAACAAGTTTAAGTCACATATTATTGAGAATCTAAATCTATTGCATTACACAATAAGTGACAAAACATTTCATATTGTAACTGCAGCACGCTAGTCTCGTAGCCGAAGTTACCGAACAACTGAAAAGTAGATTTTTACCTGCCCCTGTTGTAATCAAGAAACGCATAGAAGGGCTTATCGAACGTGAATACCTCGCACGAACAGCAGATGATAGGTATTATTTTTGGCTATGATATATAATTATGTTCATATATATGTATTTTGGCGTTCTCACTATGCTATGGTTTGTCAAATTTTTCTTTACAGGAAAGTCTACACTTATGTTGCGTAATGTCGTAATCATTATCATCATCCTTTCAATTTCGTCTCAGAGAAAACATCCGGATCAACATAATTACAGATTATATATACACATATATATATATTCTTGACGTCTCGTCATTAAGATGACTCACGAATTTTGTCCTTGAGTTTAATTGATTTGAGATTTTTGTCTGTTCTCTCAAGTATAAATTTTGGTATAAAACGATCGGAACCACCTGTAATATATAATTGTCATCATCATCGCCATCATCAATCATGATATTTCAACTGTATAGTATTCAATGTTGAAAATTGAGTCATCTGCCGATGAGGAGGACATCGCCCATACAAATGTGATAGTAGTTGTAGGATTAACTAAATTAAAAGTGTTAACGTATAATAACAATAGAAATCATACATACATATAAATACGCTCATTTTATTAGGGTTTGTAAAATATACCTTTCTGATTTCATTTTTTTTGTAACTGATGACACGACACATTTCACTAAAGTTTCACTGTTTTCATTCTTATTAGAAACTGTAATTTAAAACAAAATTGTTTTATAGTTGAACGCAAAAGCAAACTACATGCCCAACTTTATACCAACTGCTGCTATTTACTCTCAGAGTTAATGTAATCAGTGATATATAGTCATGCACTTGTATCTTTGTAAATCAAACGATGATCAAACTGTTTCAAAGAGTTTGGCTCAAATATGATTGAGAGTGCGACTCACATGAAGAAATAATTGATTAACAACTCTATATGCATTTCCGTCTAGTTTGAATTGTATTAAAACATCGAGAAGTTTGTGTTTTGCTCAATACTCAAACAACTGAATCTTTTATTTATTAATTTATGAGCTTTCTATACGACATAAGCCGTCTGTCCGTTTATTTAATCGAAACAACTCTATTACAAATCGCCATCTTTAATACAATTTGAAATGAAAACTCTCTGCTTTGTTTATAAGTATTAATTATTATTACAAATAGGATGAAAAGTTTGATTGGTTTGTTTGATTGGTTTCATACCTTGATTTGAATGTATTTATTTATATATAACGGTATTATTACTACTCTCATTATCAAAGTAATATATGCATGGGTGCAACCAGGAGGTTAACGCTGGGGTACATTTTGATATATGTATAAGATATCCCCCAGCTATATCCTCCTTGTTGTGCCGGTGAATATATAATTATTATGTATGTACAGATTATTATATCAATTCTAGGTTTTCCCCACATTAGACTATTTAGTTGTCTAATGCAAATAAGCTGAACGTGTAAAAACTTACATATGTAAGTGAACGCAATGAGATAAATGATAAATTAGGGAAGGTGACGTTCTTTGTCATCTCAGTAAATATGGAATATGTAACTGTAACACCACTCATATTCTAAAAAAGAAAACATGAATAAAACTTTGAAACTCGGTGTGATGCGCTTTCACTCCCAGTAATTTATTCTGCTTCATCACTGTCTTTCCGATTTATATGATCCGACATGATCCCATCTCGGTGCTGGTGGTGGTGAGTGAGTATAATGCGGATACGAACAAGATGGAAATCAGACTATATTTGCATAACTCGCGATGGCAAAGAAGCGGATGACAAATGATGAAACCAAAGTGAAGTACTGGTCGGGTGCAGGCATGAATAATACGGCGCAACAGAATAAATGTGAAGGATTAGTATGGATCATCTATTTCGATGGGTGTGAGAAACTCGGGAGAATTATTATGCAACTCGGTGATTATATTTATAACTTTTCGGTGAGATTTTGAAGAGAAAATGGTGCACATTTTATTTCCAGATGCTGCTACCCAATATCAATGTGATGTAAAAGTATGTATTTATTTTTTAAGTCTCAAATGGGTAAATGTCATGTCAATGTCAGTCCGTCTCTCTTATAAGTGAAAGGAAATTCACTTTCACCGATAGACCTTCATGCCCCACCACAAGCTTCGATTTTATTAAGGTGTAAGACATTTAGAGAGACAACACAACCTCAAATTAGCCCTCATCACCAAGAACATTCTCGTGTCAACCGAACCATTATTATCACACTTTCCCATTAGTTCATGTTTGCTTTCACCGTGTCCTCTCCGCCAGAAATGGAGGCGAGTTGACTGTGTAACAAGTCAAATAACGTGACGCCATACCCGAGATAAAATTATCAGGAAAGTAAAGTCAGCAAATTCTCAAGTTTGGCTGGGTAGCAGTTAGTTAATAAATGGTGGAAGGTGAAAGCAAGTAAGGGTGCGTCAATGTGCCGTAAAATTAATAACACTTTCTAAATATTATGTATGCAATTTTGTCAACATGAATATTCATGAGATGGAAATGACATTTTGCAAATATGCAATATAAGATAATACGTTTTTGGTCTGACGACCGGCAAATTTTTACTAATTGTAGTTAAATAGGTTAACTAATTGTAAGTCAGTTTATTTTCTCGCTTTCTATCTGCCGACATACTTTCACTCTGTTGAAATAACAAAGGAAAGTCCGTTACACTTATTTGAGACTTAAGCCCGGCTTTATGCAGGATAGTCGGGTGGGTATTAATTGCTCTAGTCAGTGCTAACAATAACATAAATAGTGGCGAAGACGGCGCCACAGTTCTGTCCACGAAAGAAGAAAGTGAGTGAAAGTTAATTGAGTGGAAACTCACTTTGGGGTATTGGCTTATGCTGGAAATTACGTGCCCCATTATTCCTAAGTTCAACTTTTAGCAGTATATATGTAGCAAGCTAAAGGCTTATTTTACACAGTTTACCTTCTCCTGATTAGATTTTGTACCATCCAATTTTTAGTATGAATGAAGATGTCGACGAGAAGTAATTAAAACTCGGAGAAGCAGCAGCAGAGAGGAGAATGTTAGATCCCAGAGTTTGGTTTTGTAATCAAAGTTGTCTCAATTTCTTAAAAAATATTAGCATTTTGTTAAACTGCCCGTCTTAAAAATATCCATTAACCAATACATACGGAGATATGGGGATGCCTACTATTCCATCCCATAAAATTCCTCTTTTATGACTCTACGGTCTAAAAGTCTTTAAAATATTGTAGAGAAAGTTTATAACTTTGTCGTTGAGGAGGGTGGACCTGGACTTACCTTCCTACAAAGTTAGACAGATACATCCTCAGCCAGTTATGACGATGGTCTTCCTCTTGTCTTACATACATATTAGTGCAAAAACCTATAAACGATATGACCCTGGCGGAGCAGACGAGCTACATATAATCCACCCAATCCAGCCAGGGACAGTGAAATGAGATAATATTTCACAAAATCATGAACCACTCGCACTTAGAAAATGACAGGTATTGGAATTAAGGGCAATTTTGTCCCAACGTAATGGCCCTGCTGGGAAGAAGTCAATTGATGCTGGTAGAAAGTTTTGAATTTTGCAATAAAAATAAATCCAGACCTGAGCAGAAGAAATTAACGAGACACGTTATACACTATTTTGAGAACATTATGCACGCATATGTACGTGTCATTTTCCTGGCTCAAATATAATTTTCAAACGCTTCTTCTTGTAATCCTACACCTTGCGTAATGTCAAGCCAGACGGAATGACAGTGAGGAACGCCAACCAACCCACGGTTCATTTAATGTCCCCTCCGAGACCCTTGTTAATTGGCAAGGAAGTTAATCCCACGGAACGCTGGTATCCACCACGATTTGCTGAGGCGGCCGATGTTAAACCAACTATCGCCCCATTCCGCCAAAGAAAAATTGACTATCTAATGGCCAGCTGACTTTTACCGTGCAATACCTACATAAGTAATTACACCGTCCTTCCTTACTTATCTATGTGCATACGTATGTATATCCTGGGCAGGGAAATTAGTCTCCCCCTCACTTTCTCTCATGGGGCGTGTACCCAAACCCACCACCACCATCCTTTCTCAGACGAAACGCAGTTTCTATAACTTTTAATTATTATGCCGGCATCTCCTCGTTCGCACAAAAGTCAGTTCTTTCTCGCCTCTCTCGCCTCAAAGGATTTTTAGGCCTTTTAAGATTGTTAGGCCTTTTAAGATTGCCTTATACGTTTGTCAAGATGTCTGTCTGTCCGTCCGTCTGTGCGCACGATAACTCTCTTTACATACAAGCTATCGACTTGAAATTCTGCACACTTCATCTTCGGGTCAAAAGTAAGGGTGAGTTCCGAGATGGGCATGATCGGTCAAGTAATTGGCCAGTGGGGGTCTTTTCCACCCAAATGTGTTGTCATTAACTACCAAGAATGCCATCTTAAAAGGCCCCGCAAAGTTGCTTGGAGTAGGTTTTATTTTATCGCTGAAGAACAATAACGAACGAGGTAACGGTGCAATTAAATGTGCTCCTTGATTCATTCACAAGTCGATCTTTTCACCTTTTTCTTGGAGAATCTTTACGTTTGAATGTAAAGGTTAATTGCTGAGCAGATGTATTTACTTTTAAATACGTTTCCAGTAAAATGTACCAGAGACGAATTTTTTTGTCCGCACTTTCTCCTCTCAACTTTCCTCCCACCAGCCACACTCCATTTGATTCGATAAAGTGGTTGGTGGAGAGAAAGGCGTAGCAGTGGAAAACCAAACCGAAGACAATTAATTTCACTTGAAAAAGGGAGTTGGGTCAATTGTCTTGGGAGAAACTAATGATATTACGCAAGGAAGGGACGCCTCGTTTGGATGGAGGGGACTTTGGAAATATATACCGCGATGCACTTCCAATATTACTTTCTCGTCGTCCCTCATGCCTACATCACTTTCATTTTATTCTTGGTAATAAAATTTCTCGGGGTCTTCTCATTCCTGATTCCGTGCCACTTAATAGAGACGGACAGTTTCTTCTACATCTGTGACTGTGACTTTACTATCTGAACCTTGTGAAATGGCGTCGTCAGTCAATTACTTGACGATATAATGCTTTACTTATTTACTGTCGTTGCACTTTCTTCTTCCAGTCCAAGATTCGTCTTTAATCGTAAATCGAGACGGAAAAGAATGAATGAATTGCAGGAGTGGGAGAAGAAGGATATGGCGAAAAGAAGGTAATCATTACATGCACCCTCCTCCTACAATCGTTTATTTGTTAATTACTTTACTGCTTAACAGCCACTTGCAGAAAGAATAATAATTTCCTTTGAAAAAAATTGGTATTCATGTTAGCTTGCGTTCTTTTATTGGATTGAAAATGGGGTATTTGTGCAAATAATTCTGTTAAAATTTAGTGTCATGTCACCTTTCATTGTAAATTAGTGGTTCGTATATATGATCGTGTACATGCGTGTTTGATCGAGTTATAATAACATTACGGCATCCAATTGACTAGAGCTGTATGCCGTGAGATGAATTGAGAAAATGTCATTATGGATGGTTGTGCATCGAATTATTATTATGCGTTTGTATGTTTACCACCACAAAGCAACCGGAATAAACGGAGGGACAAAGGGTACAATACAGGAGAATGGACAAATTGAAATAAATAGCTTCTATTATTACTTTACTCAATAGAGAAAAGATGAGCGAAGCTTTATGTATCTACACAAGAATGCAGGCACACACACTTGTACGATTCAGCGACATAAATAAATCAATGATCAATCCAATCCTAGCCACCCTGCTGATCCAATAATAGCGTATTATTCGAGGGAAACACCATATTGGATTGGGTTTACCTACCCTTCCAAAAACGGATATTGTCTATTTTATTAAACCCGGCATCATGTCGACGATTTCGTCGTGAGTCAGTCAGGCAAAATATATTTTTAGACACGACGACACGAAAACAAATAACAAAAACAACACGGGAATAATTACCCGTTTATCTCCACAAGTGGAGAAAGTATTAGAAAAGTAACAGGCACGTAAAATGATGACTCATTCTCCCCAAATTGGTCTGATGGGTGACTCGTCGTCCAATTTCTTGGAAGCAACGAACCACCTTTTGTGGGCATTGGAATGAGCGAGGTACACACGCTACATTACGCTAGATATACATGTTTTCAAAGTATATACGGATCTAATTTAAGTGTGCAACTACTTTCACTCACTCACTTTCTCCAGGAGGAGCGCGCGGTTTATTACGTGTAATAGAAATTTATACGTGGCTCTGAGTCGAATGGAAATCGGGTTGAAAGAGGTGAAGATGATTCACACTTTCTCTCTCCTCCTTTGCGTACTGCTACGTTGGACAAGTTCAATTTGAGCATTCTGGCAAGAAAACTGACTCGTTCTCTATTCATTATTTACTCACTTGAGCCCAACCAGCCATTGATGGGAGGTGATGGAAGTTGCCCGTGATCATTGGAGGTGACCGAGTTTGTGTTGAATGGGATGAGATGAGGTCGTACGAGATGCCAGAACCAACTACGACAAAAAGCTTTGCTCCAATTTAATGATGGGTTTTCCAAGTGGAATAAATAAATTGTGCAAGT